GCACTATGCAACCTGGGAATTCCCCCCCCCCCTGGTGCTTTACATCCTGGGAATGGAAAAACAATGAATTTCAAACTCATCCCGGGAACTGTACTATTCTCCAGGTGACAGATGACGGGGTGACAAAAGTGGTGAAACGTCTGCAGCGCCTGACGTTCCTGGACGTATCGTGTAACGACAGGCTGACCAATCACACGCTGGCGTCCATCGGTCAGCACTGCCGCTGTCTGCAGAAACTGGACGTGTCCCTGTGCAGCCAGATGTCCCATGATGCACTGGACAAGCTGCAGTACCGGCTCCCCCACCTGGTGTCTCTTCAGTCACGGCTCGTGTTGTGAGACCAGTAGTCAATAATTATGTCACTTTTATACACTAAAAGTGTAGCAAAACTGAAACATTTTGGGGGCGAATAGAAGTGAATCATACCAGGGCTATCAACAATCCATGCCTTTTCTGTAAGCAAAGGATTATGAATTGGTAGAGATACATGTAGTTATGTTTAGTGTACTGCATGGACTGGCTGGAGAGTCATGGCAATATGCTATGATCAATGATGATGAGATGAGTGTAAATAAAAGAAAATTAATGTAAAGATAAGAATGGAAATAAAAATGGTGCAATATGTAAATTTAAAGATCCTTTGCTGCTAATCTATCTAATAGTCTTCTGTGAATAATGCAGTGGAGTTTGTAAAAAGCAATAGAGAACATACAACTACAGTTATTATAAGTTGTTCAATAGATTCTGAATGGCTGCTCTGTTGAAAACGTGACCAGGTGGTTGTTGGGCAGAAAGATTTTTATCAGACTGAACAAATAAAATGTGACATTTGTTATTTATGTACATTCGGAATTACAATATTATGTTGTCAGAACACTTCCACAATTCTATCAAAGAGAAGCAATGTACAGAGCCATTGTTGAGACAATACCAGAATGTATATTGACAATATGAATTTTATGTACAAGTCAAATACATGTATCTAACTACAAATGTATATACTTCTTAGCCACCAGTTTACAGGATAGAAATTAGTTGACAGCATTTAACCCCACCATTACAAAACTTACAAGACAGACTTTTGAATTTTAAAAAAAATGGAAATCTGAACTACAAGGGATTATAATACAAAACATGACATTAATTTTCATAAAAATGTACAACCACCATGTCAAAACATTATTTTCAAAACAACAATGAATATTCTGTTTTCCTTTGCAAACATTTACATTCTGGCATCTGAGCATCTCTAGGGTGATTTTCAGGAGTCCTTAAATTTGTACTAACTAAAATAAATAGTGGTGTGAAACAGGTAGTCCAAGACAGTAGACAATGGAAAAGACTGCCAAAACTACTATAATCCTGAGATCATTCTTAAAGTTGAGACAAGCTTTTTTCAAAAGGATTCTAAACAAAGACTAGTCGTTTATGCCCCAGCCATGCATTATTCTATACATTCTATCATGTAGTTTATATACATGTATATATCTGTCAGTCAATAATTACATGTAGAGAAGTAATCATGCCATCACGATTGTCTGGAATAAAACTCATAATTGTTGCCACTCTGAGAAGTAGCTCTATGTACCAAACAGAACTGTCCATTCTACACCACCCAGAGGGCTGTTTCACATCTCCAGACTTGAATAGTTTCAAGAGACTCTTTTTACACAACCGAGTGTTTTATTCAGCCGACAGAACAGCATTGTAGTTACAATTCCCTGTAATCACGCATAGATGTAGATATGTAAATATTGTACATTTGGGAATGCATCTATAGCAGTGACACCTGTGCTGCAGTGCAATGTGAACCAGTCAGAATTGCCCTGAGGAAGGGCTGAATAAAAGACTTGGTTGTGTAGAAAGACTCTCCTCAGATATCCAGACTGTTACAAGTCCACGGGCAGCTGCTGTAGTTGTTACCAGTCTTCGTCGTCTGACTCTGCGGCTACAGGAACTGTCCAGGGGTTGGTCTTGAACAGCGGAGCAGCTACACAGGAACAGAACAAGAACATGTCAACAGTAGATACATTTTGTAGCCATCTTTACTATGGGATCCCTATTCCTCTCTAAAACTCTTGGATCATTTGGCAGTTCATAGTTTTTAGGATTAAATACATGCAAACACACTTACATGTACACCATATACTAGTACACACACACACACACACAAACATACACAAACACACATACAATACACAGTGTAATTTACACACACACACATACACAAACACATGTACACACACACATGTACTATGAACCACACACATGAATGAATATGCTGTATTTACTCCTGAGCAAAAGTTATTGTTTCTAGTTCCAAGCCTTACTTGGAGGGTCCCGTTCTGATCTTGAGTTTGCCTTCTCTGCGTCTCGTCCGAGTCTGGGAATGTTCCGTGCCGGTCCCGGCCTCTTCCCAGCGTCCACCGAGTCGCTGACGTTTGCCGTGTTGGACAGGTTCACAAACGGAGCGCCGGTCTGGTGCTGCGCCCAGCCTGGACGCTCACCGAACTTGGGAGAAGACTCATCCAACTTGGACTGAGTGCGAAAGGACAAGAACAAGAGTTTGTGAAGAAAATTAAACTGTTCTCCAACTCAAAACACGAAATTAACTCACCAGAAAGTTTTGAATAAAATGCTCAGTCTTCATCAACTTCTGGTGAGTTATTTTTGTGCTTGAGTTGGAGAAAAGTTCCTTCGAAGTTCATGTATTTTACCAACATAGATGAACTTTCGTGCTAGAACAAGAGTTTGTAGTTGTGTTTAAAGTTAAAACTTTTGTTCAAATCAAATGCATGGGATTGCTCTCACCTAGACCTTTCGACCAGTCACCCTGGTCTTCTTCAATAGACTGACCCAGTGAGATGCCATTTACCAGATACCTTTGACCCAGTGTTGACGTCACACTTCCGAGAAGCCACATGACAAGCTTCACTGGGTCAGTCTATTGAAGAAGACCAGAGTGACTGGCTCTAGATGAAAGAAATCCTTTGTGTTGGGACAAAAATTTTAACTTAAAACGTAACTACCAACACAGATGAACTTTCATGACAGTTACAAAGTTACTTACAGCAGACTTTGCCTTGACCAGTTTGGCTGTTTTTCTGGACGGCTTTTTGACGACAGACTTGGAGAAGAGTTGTGTCAGGTCTGGTACGGAGCCTCGGGACCTCCTGTTGGGGAGAATTTGGTCATCATCAGATATTTGGAAATACACAGAGTACCGATAGTACTTTTAGTGGCTATAGCTACAGGGTTAATTGGTCACTGAAATGAATCCATTTTGTTTTATCTGCACACTACAATCGACATGGGATGATTCCAATCTTGTGTTCTGTTGTCAATGTTTAGGATTGTGTTCTCTAAAAAAGCACCACCTACATGTACATATAGTGGCAAGAAACAGAACTCCAGTCAGAAGCTCTGAGGAAAATGTCTGATAGACATTGAAACATAAGCAGGCAAGAAACACTACCAGTTTATTTCTTTAGGTTGTGTAAGAAGAAAATCCCTACATTCTATGTTCTACCAAGGACATTATACACTGTGTATAATGTCCTTGGTTCTACAAACCTGATGACATTTTAGATATACTAGTATAATGCGGGTTTTATTTTGAAAAACGTTTAACTCACACATAATACTAAGGTGTATACTAACCTGAAACGTCTGACCGTTTCCAAAATCAAATCCAGTTGCTTGAGTAACTGCTTTTTGGCGTATTTTATTACCTGGTTGTCTAACCTTCACTGACATATACATGTAATACTAAGCTGTGGTTAGTATGACATAGACTTACGATTCTCTCACACTAGCAACATAATCTTTATTGTCCAGGTAGTTAAATCTCTTGGTGTCTCCGGGACTCTTGTCTGACACCTTCCATGGAGGCGGTTCCCACTTCTTGGGTGTAGGTTTGGGAGGTTTGGTCCTCAGGTTCCCCTCACCGTTCACGTTACGGGCAGACGTGGGGCGTTCCTCCTTCGCTGGGTCCTGTACGGGGGAGGTGGGGGTCAGACATTGAACTTAATTGACACAACAAAAGTACAGCGACTTTTGTAAGGTCTTAAACTACATGTAGACATACAGACAAATACAATGAAATAAACATGAACGGAAGGGAATGGGAAGAACGAGAGAATTGGAAAAAGAAGGAAAGTAAACAGTAGTAAAAAGTAAAAAAAAGCATACTTTTTACTATGTTACTCTGATATTAGAGATATATAATATACATTCAGGGCTCAAAATATATCTTTGTAGAAATAATGCCAGAAGTGAAGATACTAACTTAAGACATTACAATAACAGAGAAACAGACAGATACACAAACACTATTGATAATTTGATTTTGACAGGATCATCCTGTCAATAGTGCAATTATTTTATCATAATAAAACTGTTTATAATGAAACTGAACTTCAGCAATTAGGCCAAGTATGTGCTGAATGAAAGTTGAGATTAGTTGCAGCTTCATACAGTCTATACTATAGGGCTGGTGGATTGTGATTGCAGTTCACAACTCTTAACTTGACTTAAGTTTGCTGCAGTGTCCCAGTAGAAGGGATGACAAGAGAGCCCCCTACCCCTGGTCTGAAGAACTGCAGCTGCTGAACACTCTTCAGGGAGGACAGACATGAATGGGACGGAATGGGAAGAATGAGAGAATTGGAAAAAGAAGGAAAGTAAACAGTAGTAAAAAGATGTCATGCATACTTTTATATTATTATGTTACTCTGATATTAGAGGTATATAATATACATTCAGGGCTCAAAATATACCTTTGCAAAAATAATGCCAGAAGTACATGTAGACATACTAATATAACTTAAGACATTACAATAACAGAGAGACAGGCAGACAGACAGATACATACACACACACACACACACACTTTTGACAGGGTCATCCTGTCTATATATATATTAATAGTGCAATAATGAAACTGTTGTAAACTTCAGCAATATAATGAGGCCAGGTATGTCGTGAATGAAAGTTAAGATTAGTTGCAGCTTCATACAGTCTATAGGGCTGGTGGATTGTGATCGCAGTTCACAACTCAACGCTGCAGTACAAGAGAGCCCCCTACCCCTGGTCTAAAGAAGTGCAGCTGCTGAACTCTCTCCAGGTAGTGCCGTTTCCAGATGCCCTGTTCGAACGGGCTGGGGGTGAAGTTGATGTACCAGCCAAGCCGTAAGCACTTAGGCATCCACAGCTGGTCCAACTCACTCAGGTACTTCCAGTACCAGCATACCTGGGCATATGGGTGGTACAGTGAGGAAATAAAGTCAGGCTAGATAGGTAACATTTGCAAAGCAAATGCATAATACTTACATGTACCTCCGCATATCACTCACTCACACTATCCGTGTTTAGATTATAGTTTGCTCTTTTAATTTTAACTCAAACACATTCATATATATGGTGACAGGAGTCTAAATCCCTCCTGCTATAAAATTGCAACATGATGTAACCCAACACAAGTTACCATGGTGACAGACGTCTGGTACCAGTCATTGACCTTTCTGGTTTGAAGAAGAAGAGGAAGAAGAGGAAACTGAACAAGAACAATATATTTTCCTTCCGTTTAAACATAATTTTAAAATAAACCCACCTGAGTAGAGCGACATAAGCTCCTGGGATCGAGGTGAGAGAAGATGTAGAGACAGACGACCCGGGGTAAGATCTTGGTAAAGTCTGTGTGCTCCACAGGCGCACGTTTGTTTATACAGGACTGGGTGTACAGGAGCTGTTTGGTCTTACATTTGTCGACCAGGTCCTCCAGGACCTTTTTCCTCTGAGCATCGTTCCACTTTTCAAACTAGACAGTGAGAAACAGTGAATAAAATACTTGTCAATATAATAATCAAGGTCCTAACAATTTGTCTGACTGCCTTGTTTTTATAGAAAAAGTTACACAGCAACATGTACAAGACTTGGGTTCAGGAAACAGGAATTAGTCATAGTTCTATGATCCATATCCAATGCTTACCCATTTGTTGACTAGTTCTCGTCTTTCCTCAAAAACCTGCAAGTAAGAAAGTAAATTTTCAACAAGTTCTTTACATCTTAAAACAAATACACATAATATTTTAGACTTCATATCTCCTATCAACTAACCACTATTTGTCAAAGAGGCGTTGAGTTGACTCACTTCACCACATTGATGTTTTCGTACAAAAGAACATAAACCCCTAGTGAGTCCAGTCACCAAGTCACAGCAAAGGTGCATAGAAGTAGTGTACCATACTAGTCGCTAGTATAGTGTATGTGCTAGATATGTGCAAGTGATAAACCATTTTTTTATTTGTCTGACTCCTACCTTTTCCTTCGTTGGCACATTTGCAAATACATAGAAAAGACATAAATTGTAGAGATATCAACATTTGCAGACAGCCTTTAACGTTACATTTTGCATCGGCAAGCTTTCTATAATTTATGTAACATATGGTATACATACATCATTACAATGACTGAATGTTATTGTCGTTTTGCCTCATAAAAATTTTGTGTGATAGTAACACAGGTTGTTTGTAAACATCAGCCCCCCTCCCCCCAGGCGTACGAAACTGCACTGCTAGAAACGTTTAAAGACGTCAATAAAGTCACAGACACAAATACAGACTTACCTTCAAGTTGGCCGACGCATCGTTCATAGGAGTCCACGTACTGAACTTCATCCCGGAGTCTGCCGACGGCATCGCGTTCGCGAATTTCATGCGAGAAGTTCTCGAGTCTACCGCCATGTTTGGAATTTTCAAATGACTGTGCATGACGGGAGAAATAGTCTAGCAACCAGACGCCTTAGGAGGATAAATAGTCCAAATTTGGGGGAAGTATCTGGCCTTTGAGTTTTCATCTTAGATGAAATAGAAGCATTTGCCAGAGGAATTAAACTACTAGTAAAACATACAGATCTTAGATAAGAAACTCCATGTGTGGATATTCGCCATCATTCACCCAATGATTGAATTTGACTAATTGTAACACAGAGTATACTCCTAAATAGTCTGGGAGAAATTAACATAGAAGCTGCTACAGATTTCTAACATATTTTCTGGTTGGTCAGACGTTTCATGCTCATTCTCCAGCAGCCAATCAGAATTCGCGTCTTATCAACATCGTTCCAAATGAATCCAAGTGGGTTATTCTACCAAGATTTGGGGGAGTGGCAGACTGTCAAAGTCTACAATAATTTTGAAATAGCAAGCCAACCAAGAAGAATTTAATTTAATAACCCTACGATTAGATTAACAGATACTAGTAATAAATTAATATATGCATTCCCGGGCAATATGGTTTGCCCAAATTTACAGAATTTTTTTGTAAAAGTGGCACATCCCTGTCCCTTTACTGTGGGTTTGAAGACGGCATGTGCACATGCTAGTCTGAATTCTCTTTAGTGTTTGCCGATGTAAGTGCCCTTTTCTCTCAAATATCACATTTTCTCCGGAGTCTCAAGAACTCCAGGCCTTTCCGGACCCCTCTACTCTGTCTGTGAGTGACTAGAAAAGGTGAGATTCCATCTTCAGCCATTTTTAAAACGCTGATACGTGTTCGGGTCCAGCTGTCGTCTGATTCGTCATAGTCTTGACGTCATCAGCAGAGTCTTCAGCCTACAGAAATATCTCAATTTTCCTGAGTACCCTACTGTCAAATTACTAGTATACTTTCTAGTGTACCCATCGATGTCAATAAGAGACAGAATTCTCTGATAGATTTCTGTAGATCATTCTGCAACATAATGATTTGAAGAAGCCATGAAAAATAGATAAATATTATAGATTCAGACTCATATTTTTTTGCTTCGCCCAGATGGTTTGAAATATGAATTATGATGATCAGGGGTTTACGGAGGCTTTTGACAGAATGATGTCAAGAAGAGTTTTCTCAGTATCATAATTTGATTTGCAATTATCATAATCAGTCGGAGCACTTTAAAGGGGCACTATGTACGTACATGTACTAAAGTTACATTTCGCACCAAATACATGTATTAATGTAGTATATGTATATTTTAATTGAAAAAAAATATTCGCGTGATTGCAACATAGTGATGCATACCGGTTCACTGGACTTGGATCCGGACTTGTAAGAATGATTAGGTTCAAGTCCAAAAAAACCTAAAAGTCAAGAACCGAGTCCGGACTTATTACCATAAAAGACCATTTCACATCCCCCTTTTCTTTCCAAACCACCTAAAACCCTCCGTAAATTGTAAAATCTTTGCTGCAAAACAAAAACATTGTCATTGGACATCGTCAAGTACCGGCCTCCATGTTATGTGGCCAAAGTTTCACCCAGACAACATTGCAAGGCTGTCAACATGCAATTTTGTATATGCCATGGGTTTAGGTCCGGACTTACAAGTCCGAAACTGAACCTAAACCTCTGGACTTGAATCCGGACCTGAACCTAAAATTGGGTTTAGGTATGCATCACTATTGCAACATATTTGCACAATTATCAGATGAGTCAGATTTCTGGCACCACTAGAAAGTAGAATGTAAACAAACATGGCTGACAGCTGTTTCCAGCATTTAATTCATGTGTATCAAAAGCGCACTCATGTCATACCGTGTCATATTTTGGCACTAGTTGTAAATGTTGTAGTAAAAGTGTGTAAAACTGAATTTTGTTCTCTCTGCAGTGACTTCTCTCCACCATGTCCCAGCTGCCACAGACGTCCTCTCCAACTGTCCCGGGAGCCCCTCCTGCTGGTGCACCCCCTGCCCAGGGGGGGATGAACCCCACCCCGGGGATCATCACCCCCACCCAGGGGGCAGCTGGGGTCTCCCCTGCTGTTACTGGGTCTACACTTGCCAACGGTACTATACATGTTTCTCTCAACTTTAGAATTTTCCTTTCTCTATTTTTTATGTTTACCATTTAGGAAAACATATTGTTTTTGCTTACTAAGTTAGTTTCCTCTTTCCCAAACACAAAAGGTCAATGACCTGAACCAAACAGTCTATCACCATGGTAACTGGTGTTGGGCTATATCATGTTGCAATTTTATAGCAGGAGGGATTTAGACTCCTGTCACCATATATATGAATGTGTTTGAGTAAGAATTAACAGAGCAGACCACATGCAAAGGTAAACATTAATATGCATTTGCTTTGCAAATGTTAAATCTAGTATTTTGTCTGTGTCTGTTGCAGGCACTGTTGTGACAGCTCATCCTGCTGCCCCCTCCAACATGGCAAACCCCAAAGAGAAAACCCCCATGTGTCTGATTAATGAGTTAGCCCGGTACAACAAGATCCAACCACAGTACAAGCTCATCACTGAAACTGGACCGGCCCACCAGAAGGTAGGGGGAACAGCATCACAATTTATGTGTGAAGTATATATGTGTGGTGTTATTGTGTGACAATATTGTGTGATTTTGTATGTAATTACCCGAAGGCCTGCATGGGAGGGTAGTGATTACGAATTACGCAAAATTTTTGCTGTTGATTACGAAGTACGTTTCAGAGCTGATTACAACTTTATGCTTTGAGGCTAATGTACTATTACGAATTACGTTGATTTTCGGGGAGGCTTCCTACTAATTCCGAAGAGTCGAAGACTAAAAAGGCCCAATTGCGCCTTACGTGTTAAGGACCCCATGGGGGACTACCTGATTATTTTATGCCACTACTAAGCATAATTAGTGTAACTTGATACAGGTACCGTACCATGTTTTCCTCAGACCTTTACCATCTCCCTGACCCTGTCTGACAAGACGTGGACAGCGGAGGGCTCCAGTCTGAAGAAGGCCCAGCATGCCGCGGCCTCCAAGGCTCTGGACACCTGCAACCTGCCCTGGCCCAAACCTAAACCTCCCAGGAACCAGGAAATAACAGGTCACTAGTACTATGCATGATGTACAAAATGACTAATAAACTGGTGGACATACCGACTACTAAGTACCTAATACCAGCCCAGAAAAGAACAAGAAATAACCATGCCCTCAAGTACCAGGGTTTTCAACCAAGGATTGAGGTGTTCAAGAATTCATTCTTTTCTAGAACTAGTGCAGAGTGGAACTTGCTGTTACCACGTACAGTGGGGGTATTATCATTTAATACTAGTAGCTTTAAACAATGTTTAGAGTTAGATGTTCAAGAGTTAAGAGTAACAAATCGTTTGGTGTAATGTAGCCAGCTGCCACCACGCCGCGTGCCTGCGAAGCTTTTGTGTTACACCGAAGGGCGGTTATACCAGCTATACAGATAACAGATACAGACCCTTACATGTACCTTACCCATACAGAAGGGGATGTTCCAGTTGGTAGCATCACCCCCACTGTGGAGCTGAATGGACTGGCCATGAGGCGGGGGGAGCCTGCCATCTACCGCCCGATCGACCCTAAACCTACCATCCCACCACAGTACAGGCCTAACTACAACTTCAGAGGAATTTACAACCAAAGGTGAGCCTGTTTACCACAGTACAGACCTAACTACAACTTCTGAGCAATATACAACCGAAGGTGAGCCTTCTTACCACAGTACCAACAATTTCTTTGTGCCTTTACCACTATATTTCACATTTGCATTGAAATTGGTTGTCTTTGTATGATTTTATATGTTTCACCTTTTGTACAGATACCACTACCCCACACCAAAGACCTTCTATGTGTCCCTGACCATTGGTAACCGGGAGTTTATCGGGGAGGGCCGCACCCGACAACAGGCGCGACATAACGCCGCTGCCAAGGCCCTGAAGGTCCTGAAGGATGAACCCATCCCTGAGACAGCAGAGCCAGTACAGCCGGCTGCAGATGTGCTAGGTATGGGCATTTTTGCTACGTTTCCTCTTCTTCTTCTCCAAACCAAAAAGGTCAATGACCTGAACCAGACTGTCTGTTACTATGGTAACTAGTGTTGGTCACATGATGTTGCAATTTTATAGCAGGAAGGATTTAGACTCCTGTCTGAACATAATGTATGAAATTGTGTTTGGGTAAGAATTAACAGAGCAGACCATAAAAAAAAAAAATTATGCAAAGGTAAAGAGTTTGCATTTGCTTTGCAAATGTTACCTTTCTAGAAACCATTGTTTTTGCTCTGTTTCTTCTTCTTCCGTCCCAAACAAATAAAAATTCAATGACCTGGACCAGATGTCTGTCAACATGGTCATCTGTCACCAATTAATGAAGCATCCTCTCATTGGCTGTTCGCCTTCCATTTTCAGCCAATGAGAAAGCAGAGAACCTACTGAAGCCAGAGATCACCCTGGTGTATGAGATTGCTCGGAAGAGGAACATGTCGGTTTCATTTGAGGTAATGATATCATGAAACTATTGAAAGCATCGGATCTTGATTTGCCATATCAATTGGTATAGTTCTTTTCATATGTCATATATTTGGAAAGTCGTGAGGTCATTGTGGGGTCATGTGGCAGAGCAGAGCGTTCGGCTCAGATACAAGAGGTCCCGGGTTCGAACCCTGCCATGTCACCGATGTTGTGCCCTTGGGAAAGACACTTTACACGACTTTCCTGGATGGAAACCTGGCGAACCCCATCTTGTATTAGCAACAAAAAACGGCAGCAGAATCTTCAGCTAGTTGAAGGCAGCTGCCTTAAAATGAAAGAAGAAGTCTATAGCTATCCTCCAGGTATACAATATGTATACAAATGTAGTTGTAAATGTCAGGTATAGATCTGATAATTTTGAGGTCAAAATTTGTCTCTGGTTTGTCCAGGTGATTAAGGAAAGTGGCCCTCCCCACATGAAGACCTTTGTTACCAGCTGCAAAGTCGGAGACTTCGTGGCAGAAGGAGAGGGGAACGGTAAGAAGGTGTCCAAGAAACGTGCGGCACAGAAGGTTCTGGAACAGCTGAAGGTTCTTCCCCTGCTACACGATGACGGTGGTTCACGTCAGACCAAACGGTACAACAAGAAGAGGCCCAAGTCTCTGATCAAGGTGGGATTGAACTCTTGGATTGAGGCAGATATGAATGAGGTAACTACCAGAACAACTGGTGTGCTTTTTTGTAGGGCCTAGGAAAAAAAATGTTGTGTTTCCTGTTTCCCGACCAACCCTAGAAAAACCTGCCGACCCTAGACTTTAAGGGACGTAAATAATTCAATTTTTCGAGCTGATAATCCCTACTTACCGACCTAATTTTTTCAGGACTGAAACAGGAAACACAACATTTTTTTTCCTAGGCCTAGTCTGGTAATATCCAGTCTATCATGGTATAAAACAGGCTCTCTTAGGGGCTGCAGGAGTTCCAACTCAGCTAGGTTTTGCACGAAGGGAGTTTAATTAGCCCATCATAATCTGATATGGTGGTAACTCCTGGCATACAAAGCTCTGTTAGCAAAGCTCCTACAGGCTCCTACACTCTCACCGGGCAGCCTGTTGAGATGGCAGAGGGAAACTATTTAAGAGCCCAGAAGACAGCCTGTCCCAACCACGATAGACTGGATACCAGGCTATGCTTTCTGTGGTGTTGGTGTGAAGACTCTGTTTATGGTATGCACTCACCTTAATTAAGCATATGTAGTGTGCAGTGTTACTAGGAAATGTTCAGATTTCACCATCCTTATCGTAAAGGTGTGTGCACTGTGTGTGAAAATTATAGGCACTGCCAGCATTAAGTTTTTGTTGTACATATACATTATTTGTAATTAATATATATGTACACAATGCACCTGCACATTCTGTTTCAATGTCAAACATTGTACTTTTTGCTCATCTTTGCCAGACAACAATCAGCATGTAAAGATATGGAAAGAGATGCTAGAAAGTAGACTATTGTGACTCTGCCAGTTGTTTGCTAGTTTATCCCAATGCTGTAATACCTGTGTTGGCAGCTGAACCAGACCAACCCTGACTATGGACAGGGCATCAACCCTGACAGCTGACTTATGTAGTCAGTCTGGCTGTAGTTTAAAGCCTAAGCATTAGAACTAGACTGTATCATACAAAATAACATCTACTGTGCCAGTTGGCAAGTTTATCCGACTGTTGTAATACCTGTGTTCCCAGCTGAACCAGACCAACCCTGACTATGGCCAGGGCATCAACCCTGTCAGCTGACTTATGTAGTCAGTCTGACTGTAGTTTAAAGCCTAAGCAATAGAATTAGACTGTATCATACAAGATAAGATAAAAGCTGTTGTTGCTATATTGCCACTTTTTTTGCCAGTTTATCCGACTGTTGTAATACCTGTGTTCCCAGTTGAACCAGACCAACCCTGACTATGGCCAGGGCATCAACCCTGTGAGCCGTCTGATCCAGATTCAGCAGGCCAGGAAGGAGAAGGAGCCGGAGTTCTCACTGCTGGCTGAGCGGGGGCTGCCTCGCCGGCGGGAGTTTGTCATGCAGGTCAGCTGATGTCCTTGATCTTCTTGTTCTTGAGAAGATACTGAGCAACACCCCTCTGTTGGGGTAAGATGCACAGGGGGGGATGCACTGTGTCATCATTGTTTCCTCAGGTGCAGGAGTACGGCTTCCCTGAAGTTGTTAGAAAAAGAATTCTGCCAGCCCAGGCATTTAAAAATCAGAGAGCTAAATAGCTTGTTTGCTTCAGTTTGCATTGTCCAATGTGTTGTGTCTGCACTACTGGGACAAAGATTTTATTAGAGTTTATTCCACAGTTCTTGTCATGTGGAATCTTCTGAGTTGCAGACAAATTCTTGATTAGACATCTAAAAATCTATACAGAATCCTGACTAGAAAACTGTCTAATCTACCCTGTATGTGCCATAGGTGACAGTTAAAGACAAGGTTTGTACTGGGATTGGTCCTAATAAGAAGCTGGCCAAGCGCAGTGCGGCGGAAGCCATGTTACAGTTGCTAGGATACAGGAATGCCCTGTCCAACGTCCAGCCGGGAAAACCCGCTCTCAAGACGGGTGACGGTGCGGGAGACGGGCCCGGGAACGTTAACGGTCGCAAAGTCAAGTTCGTAGATCAACCAGCAGAAGGTACGTGTGGTTTGGAGAAGAAGAAACTGGGTAAAATGATATATATCTGTGAAGATACAAAAAAACACCTGTGACCCCAAATAGAGCATGCATTCTGTTCCAATGACAGTTGGTGAGTGACCCTATGAACACACAAAATGATCAAAGGACATACAATATTGTACATGATACTTCTAGTTACATGCTATACGATAATAACATTAATAACCTGCTTATAATTCACGGATGTGGTCGTTTAGGAGGTGGTTATAGGAACCAGCCACTAATTATGATGCTACATGTACATGGGTATATTTACCTCATGGTGGATCATTAACCCTATTTATTAAATTGTAGCAGACTTTTTTTTATTAACAGACTTTTTAAATAAGTTTGTGATCCTGTCCACAGCTAAAGATGGCCACGGTGACGGTCCCTCCATCCTGAGCCGTCAGCTGGCACCCGGGCTCCTCCCCATGCCACAGGAGATGGTACGGTCCACTGGGGGCAACGGAATGGGTCTGCAGGGAGTTACCATTCCCCAGAGGGGTGAGTCTTACAACTTTTTCTCTTTCTTGAATTTATCTCTTTCTTTTTTTCTGACCAACTGCTGCCTGTGTCAAGTACATTTTGCTGACATTCTACCTAATATTTGGTCTTATGTGGTGCACCCCAAAAAATTTTATGTGCATCCAAAAATGAATTTCGAGCCTTGTTATGTTGCTGAAGTTTAAGTTTTGTGTGGCCAGGTCTAAACAGGGCCCCGGGAGCTCCCCTCAGCCCTCGCAACCCACAGCTGACCAGTGCCGCCATCGCGAAGGAGCTACTCACCATCGGGAACTCCCCTACTGCCGAGGCAATGGTACAGTCCGGTGTGACAGGGATGCCACAAGGCCAACAGGTACTCTCACTTCTCAACTAGTCATCATGCTTCGATGAGGGTTAGATGTCCAGGTAATGAGATACACAAGGAATTATTACTCAAGCAACTGGATATGTTTTCCTTTATGCTTACATCTATGGGGAAAAATGGGACCTAGAAAAGAGGTTGTCATGTCCTAATAGCTGGCTTATAGAAGTGGTTGTTTGGGCAAGTTTGACTGTATATTGAAATTCGGTGTCCTATCCTGTTCCCAGGTCCCTCCTAAGCAGCAGCTGGCCTACCTTGCCAAAGTCCAGGGCTTCAGAGTGGACTTCACTGATTTCCCCAAGGTAAGATGAAAACTGAAGTTCCCCTTAAAGTTAGAAGCTAAACAACAAGAGTTGCCTAATACCTCCTAAGTTGAAAATGCCAATATGGCACACATCTAAATGTTGAATTAAGTAAATAAATAAACATGTTGTTGTTGTTTACTCCGTTACCAGGGTAACAAGTCGGAGTACCTGTCCCTGGTGTCCCTGTCCTCTACCCCCCCCGCTGGTCAGCCATGGTGCCGGCCCTACGGTGTTGTTTATGTTTACTGATGTTGTTGTTGTTTACTCCATTACCAGGGTAACAAGTCAGAGTACCTGTCCCTGGTGTCCCTGTCCTCTAACCCCCCGCTGGTCAGCCATGGAGCTGGCCCGACAGTGGAGGCAGCTCATGACCAGGCTGCTCTCAACGCCCTGAAGTCTCTGATGGACATGGGACTGGACAGGGTGGATGGGGAGGGGGGCGGTGACAAGGCGGAAGGGTAGGCACAACCTGTAGTCACTATTTTCTGCATTCAGCATAGATAACAGATGTACATGTCTAAATTTAAAACTTCCGACCCAACTCAATAAAGTTCTCTCACCTAGAGGTTTCGACCAGTTACTCTGGTCTTCCTCAGTAGACTGACCCAGTGAGACTTGTTCCATGGTTTCTTTGAATTGTGACATCAACACTGGGTCAAAGGTATCTGGTAGACGATTTTGGCCCCCATTTTAACCCAGTGTTTCATTTCTAAAGAAACATACTACAACAGAGATTTTTCTGACACTCAGATGTCAAGAATATACTGTATAGTAGTATGCATTTAACATCTTTATATTCCTAAAGTTACAAAAATATTTGGGTGCACCCAGTATTTCAATCCGTGTTGCATCTTTATCTCAGTTTGAGCTGCTAATGTCTTCCTCTGTATTTCCAGGGTGAAGGAAGAGCCTCCCAGTGCGGTGAGCGAGCACAAACAGGCTAACTCAGCAGACACAGACCTGGGCGGCTCCCTGGAGCCCGTGGGAAACACGGAGTCCAAGTGAGCCGCTCCGCAGGCCGTCATCTCACGATGTCGGTGTATGAATACATGTGAAGACAACAACAACCAATCACACCTACTTTCCTAAAGGTGTTAGTTAGAACTAAGTCTTGATTCTCCATTCGGCATACTCGAGGTATAAGAGTTCAGTTGTTATGGTTGGGTTCTCTTGGCTGAATTGTTTGATTGAGAAATGTGCCAGAGCTTTTGGAAGTGATCGAGGTAAAAAAGAAGAGTATTTCATTGGTATTCCTTTTCAACACTTTCGTTTTAAACACTTCTAAATGTTTCCACACTTAATACACTGTCAAGCTTTAAAGGATGAAAGATATCAGTGTTTATAATTACTATTACAAAACTGTATATTAGAAAAACTGGAACACTACATGGTTCCTATTTCATTTGTAGTGAGAATCAAGAATTCATGACCCAAAACATGGGTAAAGAAAATGTACCGAAGTTTGTTTTGCGTGAATGAAGAAAATGACTTTCCAACAATTTAACAAACTGTGCCAGAAATGTGAGGAAGATGAATTTACATTGTAAAACCTGTCAGTTCTGGCTCATATCATAACTCAAACAGGTTCATTTGCCAAAGGTTGTCCCAGAGTAACAACTGTTACTGTTGATTCTGTTCGTATAGTCAAGCATGATACCTGTTATCATTGATTTATTCTTGTAATTTCCAGTTACGCAGATTTTTCTTGTTATAGTCATTAAGCTAAATGTCTTGTACTATCATAATATACTCTCCTTGCCGCTGTAGTAGTGTGTATGTCCATGCCACGTCTGTGCATGTAGACTGGAAAGGTGGGTGTTAGGGGAGACAGGTCCCTTGCTTTGATAACAATAGCTCATATGTAGATTCTAGTGAATGTTGTCTTCATATCTAATCATTCATTGCATGCACCGTACAGTACTAGTGCAACATAAGGAAGACCTCAGAGCTGACATCCCTGGTTGTGGTGTAGTGGTGGGGAGAAAGTAGCATTCTTGCTGGACATGCAGTTGTTACCTCCATGAAAAATGGAGGTATTGTTTTATGTTGTTGCCAGGTTTCCCTGAAACATTCAGTAGTAGTTTGTACCTGCCAGACTTCAGCTGGTTGTGTCAGCTGGAAACTTGGTTGTTTCTGAAAGTTCATCTGTGTTGGTAGTTACATGTTTAAAACTTTTGTTCCAACACAAAGAATGTTCTTACATAGAGATTTCAACCAGTTACTCTGGTCTTCTTCAATAGACTGACCCAGTGAGACTTGTCACATGACTTCTATTGAAGATCTCAGTGACTGGTTGAAATCTGTAGGTGAGAACTATTCTATTTCTTGGAGCAAAGTTTTAACTTAAAACTTGTTAACCAGATATAATAATATGAGATATCACCAGTTCTATAGTTACTGACAGCAGCGCACAAGTTTAGTAAGATGCTATTTCCAGACAGGGATGTGGAATATGTTGTTGAGGGAGGTTTTCCTATGTTTGCTGCCATGCTGAAGATAATACAAGAATGTGCAGTATTTGCTCTACCTGACCCAGGCTTGTACACATACATGTATACCGTATCAGACCTATGGACTATACTAACACGTGCTGCCAATGTATCGAGCTAACTGAGCTGCAACACTGAACTTTCCTCACAAACCCCACTTCAGTGCACAAGATTTCCCCACGATATTTTGCGTTCTGAAGTGTGTGGTGTGCGAGGAATCAGACCCTAGTACCGTGTGCCAAACCCGTACCTGCAACATGTAAGCAGCTAAACAGCAGTTGCATTTGGAGGGAAGTATAGCCCATCTGATGGCATTGTGTAGCCTCTACCAGGCTTCCGGAAGCAGCTTGAAGAGTAGAATTTGGCCAAATCGACAGATGATATGCCAGTGGAGTTGGTCCATGCTGAGAGAAGAGTTTACCACTCTTAGTACGGACCAAAATCCCCTGGCATGTCATCTTAGCCTGGTTACCAGACCTATTTCAGCTCCCTAGTCTTTATCCTTTCCGCAAATAGGATAGACTGACCCGGGAGCTAAAATTGGTCTGGTAACCAGGCTAACGTCATCTGTTTGGCCAATTTTTACTCTTTCCAGGCACTTCCCTACGCCTGGAAGAGGCTTAGTTAGACATTGTGAAGTTGGAAAGCTCTGTTGCTCTGCTAGCTGGCAGTACAATAACTGTACAAGACTGGAGAGGTCTTCCCAGGCCAGTTAATGCCATATTGCACATGGATTGTAGCCTTTTTTTTGCTGTTAGAGACTAGGTGTGTTATTCTGACAGGATCACAGGCATTGTGGCAGGCTTTGGTCAGCTTCTGCTAAAACTATCAGAGTGGGGTCTGTCGGGAAATATGTGCAACAGTGTGTGTTCCTGCAATAACTCGTAATGAAGCCAAAAATTCCATCAGTGACAAGTCAAAGGCTAAAATAAACAAGGAATTCTGTTAAAAGTTACCCTCAGTACATTATGGTACAAAACAAGGTTGTAAAAGTTGTTTTTCAAGGAATTCTGGTTACAAAGTTATCCTCAGTATGTAGGGTACGAAAAGGTTGTAAAAATTGTTTTACAGGTATGGTTGGTGCTTGACATGGATAGAAACCCCCACTGATAGTCTATAGCATGTCAGTTAGGAGAGCCACGATGTCCTGATGATCCCTGCATCAATGTAACATTGCAATAAACACACCCTCTTGAGCAATATACTGTTGTCTGTTGTCATTGAGAAATCAAGTTCATACATATAATGGCACCAACAGTTGAAGAAAGTGTGCCTCATTGTATATATATGTTTACCGAAGGAAACATTGTTTTTGCTCTGTTTCCTCTTCCGTTCCAAACATTGACCTGGTCAATGACCTGAACCAGACTGTCTGTCACCATGGTAACTGGTGTTGGGTTACATCATGTTGCAATTTTATGAGTTACATCAGGTTGAAATTTTATAGCAGAAGGGATTTAGACTCCTGTCACCATATATGTGAATGTGTGTTTTTTTTTTCATTCAATTCATTGAGTTAAAAATTTTTGTTTCAATGTTAGCCTGGTAGTTGACTTGTAGGGTGGGATTTGGGCCTTTCACAAAAAACTTGCAGACCAAGAAATTAATCTTCTTTCAATTCCCTTCCCTTCTACAAAACGTATTACAATCTAAGGCTGAACACAAATACATACATGTACACGGAAACAGACACACCAAAGACAATACCTCCAGTTTTCCAGGCTTGTATTTACACATACTGTACAAAAATGGCTGGTACTTTCTAAGTATGAATTTTGCTGCAACAGTGTTTGTATTAATTAATACAGCTGACATTGTAATGAGTAAAAATAAAAATGGATCTGTAGAAAAAAATAAAGTCCTGAAGAATAAAATTGCTAAAACTAAACTGCATGTGTACGCACTCCTAGAGCAAGCTTACCTATAAAATACAGAATACATCAAAATATATATAATGTACATGTACATGGCATTCCTTGTACAGTTGTAAAGGCAGGGGAACCCAACATTTTACTGTAAATATTCACGTTCCTTTACCTTACTATCCACAGAAAAAGGTGACAAGTCAGAAATTCAGCAGTATTTTTCACTGCATACAAAAAGGCATGCAAAAAGACAAGAAAATTCTGGCAGGTCAGGATTTACCGAGTGCTTTTGAAAAATGGGCAAAAACAATTGTTTAGGAATGTACCATCCTCCATATTTTACAATTTCCATACTTAGTACCATACCAACTACATTGTGCATAGCACTGCATCAGGCTAACTCAAATACTGGCTATATCTAAGTCTTCTTCAGGCCTATATTGTCCTTCAATTTTCTACCACCGGTTTAGAAAAAAAAATTCTATGGAGCATAATACACTGGAAATGTGGTCAAGAATCACCAGCAAAACCTGTTAATGCAACAAACATACGAGATTAGTACAATTAACGGGGAAATGACAAAGTTAAAAGTTTCTAACCACTCAGATAAAATTCATTTAAATTGTCTATCAACAACCTCTTGCTCTACTAAAAAAGTATAAGGTTACACAATACATAAAAGTATACTAAATAAACTTCTGTACAGATCCACAATAAATATGTCTTCACCTTCCTGAGAATAGTGCATTTTCACAGTTTTTTTCATCAAAGGTAATACTAATAGACTTACATGTATTCACAGTAAATGTACTTTGTTCCACTGTCACTCCATAAACTTTCACTGCAAGAATGTAAGCAACGGCTACAAACTCTTATGGCATATTGTAATAAGCATTTCAGTCAAAACAGCAACCAAGTTACGAAAATAATTTCATCTGGTTGGTAAAACATTTAAGATATTGGAGTTTTCTTTTTATACAACCTCTCACCTGCTTACGTTTCAATGTCTATCAGACACCTTCCTCAGAGCTTCAGACTGGAGTACCGTTTCTACCTATGGCTACATATTGCGGCAAGAAACAGTACTCTAGTCAGAAGCTCTGAGGAAGATATCTGATAGAAATTGAAAGGTAAGTAGGCGAGAGTTCTTACAGATTGTAAGAAGAAAACTCCACTAGCAACCAGGTTCAAATCTCGATCAATGGTCACAGAATTCAGACATAACCACTACTGATATAATACTGCTCTGAATTTTCCGAAACTTTGGTTCTGTGCAGCATCATTTATGATAGGTGATATACGTATCATTTTCCACATTATATATGTTAACTTCCCGGGAAGTTGCTGAGGGATAGGAGTCTATGGCTTGGTTGTTGTAGCTCTCCATGGCTTGGTTCCCATAGAAGCTGCTAACAGTCAGGTTGTTGAGGGGTATAGGGACTCCTTGGTTCCCCATGTACTCCATATCTGTGCTACCTGAATACGTGTCCATGTCTGGGACAGGGTTACCCGGGTAAGCTCCCACCCCTGGGTGGCCGTACCCATACGCCATTGGAATAGGGTCACTAGGGTACACGAATGCTGGGTTGCTGTAGTAGGCATTAACCGGCTGCCTTCTGTAGACCACACTAGGTTGTGCAGCTTGCTGTGTTAGAACTGCGTGCCCCATGCAGCCTGGTAACACGTCTTCTCCGTTGTTAGTGGAGCCGCTCTGGTCGGTAAAGTTTAACTCCTCGCTGGCAAATTCGTCGCTGTCCACTTCAGGTGAGGACTCGGTGCACTGGGAGTTGTTTGGCGGCGTAACACCACGATTGGACGTTTCTTCCGAGGCTTCGGTGTAGGACGCTCCCTCTGAGGTTTCGTTAAACGATGTCCCTTCCTCTTCTTCTTCCTCTGGGATGGCAGCTTCCCTGCTTCTTGTGACGGCTGTGGCGCGCCCGGAATCCGACACTTCGTCGCAGGACAGGGATTTTTCACTGTTGTCGATTGGCACGTTGGGAGGCTGCATGCCGTCCTCGTCCACTTCCTCCAGATCGGCCTCGGAGATCCGTGAAGGCTGGCGCGCCCGGACGTCCTGGACCTCCTGTCGGTACTTGCGGTGGCGTTTCTGGTGCTTGCGCCGGCTGAGGCGGTCCAGCCGGTGTTTCTGTTGGCCCGGCTCCACGTCTGCTACTACCGTGGTCTGGGCGCCGGCACCGTCTGTGGAACACAAACAACAAACTGTCAAAAACTGCAAACAACAGGCCTTATTTTCAACCATGACAGGACTTCAATGAATGGAAATCATAGCATAGGGGGTCCAAATCACAGCATAGGTACTATTTGGCCCCTATGCTCAAACAGCCTGGTATGAACCTTGGACTTATTCCAACAATCTAACAAGAAAACAACGCATGTGATAAAAAAGGCTACTAAAACATCCAGACTGTTAAAGATCATTACATTAAAGAGTAGGAGGACTCCCCAGTGTGAGTGTCTTACAGTCTGGTCTCAGGATTGACATTTAGAGGTGACAGTCACCTGTTATGTCAATGTGGTATATCCTAATAAATAAATAAATGTACATGTACCCTCAGACCTACCTGCCAGTGCCTGAGGCATCCTGGGTACGATGGCTCCTCGGCGAGCCACCAGCTTGGGAACGGCTTTGGCAAAGTTCTGAGGCTTCTCATTGGAGTCACTCGGCTCCTCCTGGTCTTCTTCCTTATCCAGGTTCAGATTGATCCCTAATGGCAATAATCAATCAATAAATAACAGCAATCAATCAATCAATCAATCAATTACCACACACGTTATAGTAAATGTTTACCTGTATAGCAGGTATAACTTGTACAGCCGGTATAACCGCCCTTCGGCATAACACACCAACTTCACAGGCATGTGGCGCGGCGGGAGCTGGCTACATTACACCGATCGACTTGTAACACCCAACCCTTAGGCATTTAACTCAGACATTGTTTAAAGCTATCTAATGGCAATGCCCCTACTGTACTTGGTGACAGCGAGTTCCACTCTGCGATAGTTCTAGGAAAGAATGAATTCTTGAACACCTCAATCCTTGGTTTATAACTCTGGTACATGTACTTAAAAGCATGGCTATTTCTGTCTGGTACATACCAACAGGGTCGTCGTGTGAGACCGTCTGGAAGCTGTAGGACAGTCGTTCTGCCTGGTCCCCGTCCTGTAGCTCTCTGCGCCGCGCGAAGGCTTTGGCAATCATCCTGGTCTTATGTAACCTTCTGGGCTCGTCTCCTGCTTTACCTGTGATTCTAAAGGGACAAACATGGAAACATTACACATTCATAATACTAGAATGCCAATGTTTACTTTGGCACATGGTCTGCTGTTAATTCCTACTCAAACACATTCATATATGTATATGGTCAGACAGGAGTCTAAATCCTTCCTGCTGTAAACAAGATGTACAACATGATGTAACCCAACACCAGTTACCATGGTGACAGACGTCTGGTTTAGGTCATTGACCTTATTGGTTTGGAGAAGAAGAAGAGGAATCAGAGCAAAAACAATATGTTTTCCTTCGGTAAATATAAATATCTGTAGGTACTTACCTCTTCCAGAATCTCTTCCAAGTTGCAATGGTGGATTTGGTCCAGACCCAGGTGCTCATTGTAATACCTGTAGTCAAATACATGGGCGCATCTCAGTCACATCTCCATGTTTCAAACACGTTGTTCATGTCCCCTTTAATTCATGTTCATTTCAAACCCAGAACAAATGCTCAAAAAAAAAATTTTCTATACAGAATCTTGAACAGAAAAATAAACTTTTTCTATACAGAATGTCAAACAGAAAAAACTCTTTCTGTACAAAATGTTGAACAGAAAAAACTTTTATTATACAGAATGTGGAACACCTAGAATGATGCGAACCAAATGAAGTCTCTTACCTGCACCAAAGAAGGCAAACAAGTGAATCTCCATAATGATGAGGCTGGGGCGGCTCTTCATGGAGCACTCAGGGACCGGCTGATTGGACAGCAGTTCTGCCACAGTCACGTTAGCCTCACACCTGACCAATAGGAGAGCAGGTTACATACTGGGCATAGGCTTGATGTGTACATACATGTGCATGTAGATTCTTATTACCTTTGCGAAGGTTATGTTTTTGGTACTGTTTGCTTGTGTGTTTGTATATGTGGTTTAGCACGATAACTCAAGAAGCTATGGATGGATCGTCATGAAACTTGGTAGGTGGATAAGTCTTGATGAGACCTTGAAATGACTAGAATTTGGGCTCCCTAGCAGCTTGTTATGGTACTGTATTAGAACTTCTGACTTTTGGACTTCTGGACCTTACCTGATGAAATCTCGGAAGCTCTGCTCCCATTCTGCATGGTTGGAGAACTCGTACACATGGCAGGCAAAGGTGATGAACACAAACCCCAGGGCAAGAAACGCAAAAATACCTGAAAGTGAAACAAGAAAGATTTAAAAAAAAAAAGTTGTTTCATACAGTGCAAACTTGAAAGTGTCACAGGTTTAACATGGTTTTCAGACAGAAATAATTTTTTACCAGTTCTATATTGCTTCTATATTGCTACCTGAACTTGAAACCTGCAGTTTTTGGTAATGATTAGAAATAAAGGATGACCGTGGTGTTATTATTACCTAGTCTGACAATGGTCTCCTTGATCTTGGTGGATGCCCTGCTACTGAGGATGTCTGGGTTGTCAATCTGTAACTTCACCAGCGTGAACATTCCTGGGGGAGAAATATCACGTCATTCATGCATTTGATTTTGGCATATATTTGGCATTATAGTAGCTTCTTAATTTCAACTTTTGCTACATGATGTTACAAAGCTTTTCTGCTGCAGAAATTCCAATCTACAATTGTACAATAACCACAAATACAAGCAGAAAACACCTACATCAAACCTACCACAGCTGAGATCCCACATGTTGAGCATGTCAGACAGAGAATTACATAATGGCAGTAAGTTTGTATTATATTACCCTACTGATGTCAACAGCAAATGTCTAATCAATGTAACAGTATTACAAGTTGAACTGGAATTTTGCAATTAATTGTCGAATTCTCACAATTTTAGACTGCACATTATTCCACTATTAATCGAATGCTATGCGCTTAATTGTTCTAATAAATCAATCTACATTGTATGGAAACCGGGTACTACATAAAATAGGTTCAAATGAAAGTTTCAAACATTAATGAGCATTGTCCAGTATGTAGTTATTGCAGTCAGTATCATATCATATCAATCTGCTTCCAACCAATAAGTGGATAATTTTTATATCACAGGGATTGAGCCTGCATGAGTGAAGGTATGCAGAAAAAAGGATTCCTGTACTGATACAGGGTAACAAAGTTGGCTCGCACAGTACATCAAATTGTACATGTAAAAACAAAGCAGTCCTACCATTTCCGAGGAACCAGAGCCCACTGGCTAACACCAGGGCTACTGGAGCCAGCAGGAATCCTGCCCTGTACTCATGGTTCTGGTAACCCACAAAACAGATACCGCTCAGAGAGTCACCGTCAACCTGACAAATATAACAGGAACATCAGAAAAACTTAACACAACCTCTACTGGTAAATACACAGGCTGGCATCTTTACAATCAGAGACTCAGAGTAAAGTGTTTGGAGAGAGTTGGTGATATATTAGAAAGAATACATACAAATCTACAAAGTAACCTACATCCTTGTATATTATGTAAACATTAACACACTAAATTCACTTGTCAAGTCTTTTGCACACACAGAATCAGTTACCTATGTTCCTTAGTGCCTTTACCTTTATTTCACTTTGTTTATTTGTACTAGACTAAGTCACTTTACTAGTAACTAAGTTATGTATGTGCAACTGCTAATAATCCAAAAATTATTGGGCTTCGCAGTATAAAAGAAGAAGATACAGCATTGCAAAATCTTTTGATATGGGTCTGTGGGGACTTTTTCCCCTTAAAATTTGCACAAAATGGAAGTGGGTTTAGAATAGCATCATGAGCTATCACCCACCTGTCTCATGGCTATGATCATGACAGACAGCACCAGTGGTACGCTCCAGGAGATGAGGTGGAAGTAGGACGTCTTCCCGCTCAGGGCATCCTTACACGAACCCAGCGCTCGGAAAGACTTGTGCCAGGCAAACGCCAGCATCACAAACCACGTCACTCCCGCCATCATGAAGTAATACACCAGGAAGAACACCACCACACACGACAGGTTCTGCCCATCACTGCAACGAGAGAAGAAAATTAGTACTCACTATACAAACAATACTGTAACTAGAAAGGTTACGTTTCCATAGCAAATGCATGTTGTTTACCTTTACATGTGGTCTAATCTGTTAATTCTTACTCAAACACATTCATATATATATATGGTCAGACAGGAGCATAAATCCCTCCTACTATAAAATTGCAACATTATGTAACCCAACACTAGTTACCATGGTGAGAGACGGTCTGGTTCAGGTCATTGACCAAGTCAGAGGTCATTGTTTGGAGAATATGTTTTCCTTCGGTAAACATAATAACAAAAGCCGAGGTATAACAGACGATTGACATATGTGTACCTAGGTTCTGCAATTCTCATGGTTCCGTCTGACCGACAGACGATGTCGTCCCGTGCTCCCTCGCTGAACTGGGCTAGCCAACCGATACTGCCCACGAAGAAACAGCCGTTGATGTAGAACAGGATGAGGGCAGGGTACCGACTAGAATTCTTCCAGTCCACCAAGAATGTAGCCTTTTGGAAGCGGGATTGAACATTCAGATATTAGAAATCTCAAAATAAATTTACACATTGTCAATATACCAAGTAAAGCCTGGACAAATTAATGTTGTGTTTCCATTCAGTCCTGAAACAAAAACCTAGGGTCGGTATGTATGTAATGATTTTCCGTTTCTTGTAAAGTTTTTTTTTTTTTTTTAAATGCTCCAACAAATGAACTTAAACTGTTTGCTTGTGGACAAATATTTCACCTGATTTACTGAAGAAGAAATTGAAAATGAAAACAACTGAAAATGTGTCAAATGACATTTCAGAAATAGTTCTGACCACTCACCAAAGTGAAAAACGTGAAGACAACAGTCACAGCTCCAAACCCAGCGATGAACTTGTGTATGCGCTCGTGTTCAGCGTCTGTGAAGAGTGGATTTTGACACTGGATGCCACAGCCGTCCACACCTTTGTAGAAGCTTTTCTCGTTGTCTGTCTCCACTAAGGGTCTTTCACAACCTCCCGTTCCGTTGAACTTCATATTCTTCACTTCATTCTAGAAAATGGGATCATAATAGTTGAAGTTTATTGAAAATAAAATGAAATCACTGCATCCTTATTTTACAACGTACCATTTTACAAAAGCAGAACTTTAAAACCTACATGATTCTCGTACGGTAAAAATATCTGATACATATTTACAAAAAAACATGATTCAGTATCAACAAGATCAGACATACTAAAAGATATTTGAATATTTTCCTGTTCAAGTGTTCTACATAATAACAGCAAAATGAGAAGAATTTCAATGACACATGTACAGATTAGAGAACCACTCAGTTGCATATTTGTCTGATGTTGCCATGAATGAACCATGAATTATTCTATCAATACGCTTGTTTGAAGTTACAACGTGATTATGAATGGCTACTAACTTCACATTACAGGCACTTCCCACCCACCTCACATCCACTGATGAACTGGTTTCTATCCTGACACTGTAAGAAGGCTGGCCAGCCCTGTTCTTCCTCCACTATCTTACACGGCCCTCGTGTGATGGCACACATCTCGTAACTGGGCAACTCCACGTAGCCGTTCTCACATTTAGGCATGTAGACGGAGCATAGGAGAGGCTGGATAACCTCCCAACAGCGAGGGACGTTCCTCAGGCCTGCACAGCAGGAAGCAAAATACAAGCCAAGGTTCAAATCTCGCTCAATAGTAGAAATACTTTTTTTCAGTGTTCTGCAATATTGCAGAATGTCACAATTTTGTTCTGCAATTCGGAAATACTTTCTGCAGTTAATATCCAAACATTTTTGGATATTTCTAGTGGTTACAATACACTGTGATTCTGTAAAGCTACTTGTGCTGACCAGTGCAAGTCAAAATTATTTGCATCCCTTCATTGAATTTCACTTGCACAAAGTGGTGAACTAAAGGGGTAATTCGAGCTCAAAATACAACAATTTTCACAACACATTTCAATCATAATGGCAAGAAACTTGGAAAGAAAGCTGGAATTTTTTTATAATGTTCAAAAGAGCACAGTGAGCACAGAAATAGGCAGGTTTGCATTGTGTGACATCCATAATATTTGCTATCTACCAGCCAAGTTTCCAAACTTCACTTACACTACCTGTACCTGTAGACCATTACAAATACCACCACTGACGTGAACAATCCTGGGTGCCGATCTATTGGCACTTGGCAAATATTTGCAAGAGGCAATTGAAATGTTTGAACAAAGTGAATTGTAAACCTATAGAGCGCTAATCACACAAAACACGGCTACACTTTCCTTAGTAGTATTGTAAACAGTAAGGCATGCAACAGCTACTGATCGTTTTTTTCATTTTTAAATGCCAGAAAAACATGACCCTTGACTGTATAATGTTACATCTTTTGTAAACAGGTTATTTTTCTTTCCAGTGACCATGACTAAGAGTTTATGCAAAGTTATAATCTGCAGTAACCAATACACAGACATGCAGAGGTGTTTTTTTTTTTAATTATCAATGTGCTGCAAAAAGAAAACTGTAACATTGAGTCATCATGTTTTGAGTGTTGTCTTTTTTTACTTCTGAAGGGGTGGGGTATACTGTTCATGTTTTCCTGTGCTCTGAAAATTAAAAAGAACTGTCAAATGCATGGTAGGAAGTAAATTTGGGATGCTGATACTAATAACAAATTTTAAGAACATATATATTGCCATGTGGCAACCCTACTTGGTACACATAGAGTGTCTAGATGTTAGAAATTCCTTTAAAATGATTGTGACAAGCTTATTCCCATGCCATATGAGTCACACACTATAAAACTAGTCTAGTAGGTAGGGTAGTAGCCTCATAAAATTGTATGTATGTACAAGTAGATGCCATACTTTGCACCCTGTACAATTGTTGTGCAAAGTTATAAAGTTATTTCCCTGGGTTGCAGCGGTTTTGTGGTGGTGTGAAACCTAACACCAACATCTGCTTGGTGTGACTCGCCTGCTGGGCACAGAACACCAACAGCCGCCATCTTGCCCTACTCCGAATTTCTCCACACAACCTAAGAGTAGAGTAGAGTAAAACTTTCATCTCTATAAAAACCCCCCCTTTTACACTCTAGCACCACAATCCGTGTCAAACTTTTTTCTAAAACCTATGATCAATGAAATTTATGGTGTAGTTGCGGTGGAGATGACTTCTTTTCCTCACAAAATGTATCGAAGTTGGGGGACACAATCCACAAATTTTATGGCAAGTCGCCATGTTGGTCTGTAAGTTTACAGAGAAAAAAGCCCGAGTTTTCCTACCTGTCCAAAGCACCAGCTTCCCGTGGGCTTCAGCTTGGTTCGTAGAATCGTTGGCAAGAGTTGTTGAGGTAAAATGATACGAAAGACTTGTTCCCAGGCAAGAAGAGTACTCCAAACGTTCGCATTTTGCTCTTTTCTTGCACGGGTTTTGGCTGTCCCTGTAGTTGAAGGTAGTGGGGGTAGCTGTGGTGGTATTTTGCCCCGTCGCCACAACTGTTGCTTCCAGCAAACAAAGTAAGCCCAACCCGCAGACAAGAACCCTTCCACTGGTCCTCGACATGGTGGCACGGTACTCCAAAATCCACAAGCGTGCTTTTGGCGATCAATAGTTTGTGAAAAGAATGAAAGAAACCCTGACCATCGTGGCACGTCGACCTACACTCACTCAAGAGGACAATATACAAACGGCGGGGAGAATCATTGCTGCTTGTTCGGGAAGATCTTCCGCAACTAAATGGTATTCCTTGGTCTGTCGGGCCACTTTACATGTTTTACACATTATTTTAGCATAATACTCGGTATTTTATAAGTTTTTTCACCGAAATGCTAGTAAGAGCACTTTCGACAGCTCGTAAAATGACCCCACGTCCCTCCCCCCGTGTGAAACGTACAGTCCCTTACTGCAATGTGTCTGCAAACTGCGAATGGGCCGAATGTCAGCAGTAGGGTAGTGTGAAGTAGCGTACATTTGTAACGATCTCTGGGCAGTCAAGGATCGGAAACTGGAATCTGACAAACTATTTGTCTCTTCTACTTTCTTCTTTATAGCTTTAGATCCCCGTATGTCCATTCACAAAGGCGAAATCCGTAGGCACCCGCCCGTCTGTAGAGTTCCACGATCTCATACCTTCACTAAATGATGTTCATCAAATCCGTTACGACTAACGAATTATCAATGCTTCTCATTGATTGTGCAAATATGCCTTGAGTTCAAACTTTTGTTTTCGTCCTAAATAGTGGTTTTCCATTTATTGTGTAAATGAAGTCATTATTTGCATAATTAACACCTATTACTACATAATACCAATCCTTAGTTTAATTCCCACCCAAGTGACATAAACAAAGTACATAAAGGCCCTATCATTTAACACTAATTAAATACACATTTTCCTGATTAATAATGCAGAGTATGTCTTGACTTTTTTAAACATCATTACTCTCTTTTAAACACAGAAGCAAATGTGACCAACAAAACCAAATTAATCAAAGTTCTTTATTCACAGTGGTGATTCACAGTGCACAGTGAACCAGTCATACATGTTACCCTGATGAAAAAGACTGACGGCTATTGAAACATCACCTCTTGTTAAACAAATTGTAATATGATGAATAATTTGAAAACTTCCTGTATAAAAACATCAGACTGCCAAAAGGAACAAAGCTGTCCAGAAAGGAGGGAGTTTTTTTAATGAAATTTACATTGATAGAGCAGATCGGGCACACATTGTTTCCATGTGTCATCACTTAATAATATGTTACTACATGTAGTATGTTAGTGACATCTACTTAGGGGCTCTTAAGTATGCTGCATATAACCTGTGAAATCTGGAATGTTCAAATGATACCACTATTCTTTGAAGTTTGCCCTGGGACATATGGGACAAAACTGAAAATATTTTTTTGTACGGACCTCACTCTCTACTAGTCTCTAGACCAGTGATAATCTGCTTAAACATATTATATTACAAAGGAAGGCCCTAAAGATATTCAGTGGTATTTACTATCTACAATTATTTAAGATCACAGTCTGTATACCTATAAACTTGTCATTGGTTTTTTACAATGACCAATGACAATTATTTAAAAATAATGTATTCCCCTTTTACTTTTCAACTTTCCATGTATTACCTTAGAAAACTTCTGGTCTATCCTAATCTTAAACTTTGAAAGCAAATTTGATTAAAGAAGATACAAGAATATTTTATCATCACATCGTTGGAAGTCTCAAAAATAAATCTGTTCATATAATAAACAAGACATGTCGTAAACAGCTTACTTTATGCCAAATTGTTGGCATTTTTCTATGAAAAATAATAAATACTTGATCTGTATTATATACAGCATTTAATCGGCCGAGTGTCAGCATTATCATATCTGTAGATCTATAGATCTACAAATTGTTTGTTGCACATTCCGACTACTAACACATAACATACTGTTAAAGGCATCTAAGACAATTTTTGGGTGGCAAAACTGGATTTTCAAAGCCAATCTTCTGGTAAGTTGAATCAACCCTATCCCATAGCATACTGATATTCGTGAGGCAGAAATGTAATGTTGCAGATGGAAAACTGTTGTTTGTTTTGTGTCATTGCCTGGTTCTAGCTTTTTTTGGGTGGTACCTAAAAAATAAATGAAATACCTTTATTGTACGTTCATGCCACGACGGGCTAGTACAGGTCAAGATATAACAGACACATAACAAACCTATATAGAAAATTGGAGACAAGAGATGCACTACTTGACAAAAGAGACTCCTCACATAGCTTGTTTTGGGAAATAAGACAGATTTTCTTGTCCTGAATATTTTCTGTTGTGCTGTCCTGAAATTGCATTGGATGCCCTTAAATATCACGTCAGCAGAACTTGCCTGCACCTGCATGAAACCCTGATTTTTCACGGTTTTTGTTGAATGTTTGGTCAACGTTGCATCAGAATTTTGCATGTTGCAGATGATATCTTTTTCGACACATCATTTGGAAACTACAGACGGGATGTTAACCTTATAAGTTATATACATGAATATGACCTTATATGAGACATTCTGCCAAAGTGCTATGCACAATACATTACTGGTTTCGCACAGGTGCAGTACGTTCTGCCAACGTACTCCTTTAACTAGATCCATCTGGAGGCAGATGCTGGTATGACTAGTACTGTCCAGGTGAACTGTCCTGACACGTTGTCACAGACACAGGTAGATCTGCAGGGTCCAGGCCGTTTAATGTCCTGATCTTGTTGTGTTCAAATCTCCTCAGGAGTTCATTCCTTTGTCTGGCGAGTCGCCGCCGTTTCCTGTCCTTTTCCCGTTCCACGGCGCGGAAGTTTGGATCAGCTCGCTTCAGCCTCATTCGTTCCCTCGCTCTCTCCTTTTCCTTCTCTCTGCAGCAAAATAGATGGATACAGGAAATGTTGTTAAGCATATAGCTTTGTTTGTCTGTTGGTTTCATATCCAAGGCTGTGACTTTTTCAGGTAACATTTGCAAAGCAAGTGCATGTTTACCTTCACATATGGTCTGCTCTGTTAATTCTTACTCAATACATTCATATATATGGTGACAGGAGTCTAAATCCCTCCTACTATAAAATTGCAACATGATGTAACCCAACACTAGTTACCATGGTGACAGACGTCTGTTTCAGGTCATTGACCTTATTGGTTAGAGAAGAAGAAGAGGAAGAAGAAACAGAGCAAAAACCATATGTTTTCCTTCTGCGAAGGTAACCTGGCTTTATTGAGGAATGATAGTCAGATAAACTAACCTGTAAATTGGGTTGGATCTCAGCTCCCGTTTCTTGAGTTTGTCTCTCTCCCTCTTCGTGAGGGAACCAGCAGGTTTGACCATCACGATATCATCATCATCATCCATGGGGTCCGAGGAGTTGGGGACTGCGATGTACAGCTGGTGCATCATGCTGGCTGGAGACAGCACCCTGGAAATATGTTTATTTGTTTGTTTATTTCAATTGGGGGAAGTTGTTTGTTTGTATATTTTACAGGGGAAAAGTTTAAACTTTTGTTCCAACACCTAAAGCTTTCAACTGGTACCAGTCACTCTGGTCTTCCTCAGTAAACTAACCCAGTGAGACTTGACATGTAGCTTCTCTGAATCCGGTGTTGACGTCACACTTCAGAGAAGTCACGTGACAAGTCTCACTGCGTCAGTCTACTGAGGAAGACTAGAGTGACCGGTTGAAAGCCCTATGTGAGAGCAACTTTCTTGTATTGCAATAAAAGTTTTAACTCTAATGATCTAAATAAGTAGACAGTTCTTGTATTAAAGTACAGATAATTTTCTTTAACTTACTGTGTTTCCACTGCAGCCCAGTGCAGGCCCTGCTGTATGTTCTCTGTGCCTGCAGGGTTCTGCAGCTGATATTTGGCAGCCCGAGGGTTCTGCTGTTTCCTGCGGTGGTTTCCGTTGTTGTGCTGCTGGGAGTTGTTGTGATCCGGGATCTGTTCTGACAGAGCCTGCACCTCCACTATGGAGCTGGTCGTCACAACTGGAGCAGACAACAAAGATTAAGAAGAACTTTATGGACCACTGGAAGAATGCTGGTATCCACTGTCTTGTACATGTATGCTAAATGTGGATCCCAATAAAGTCAAGTTAAAGAGGAACTTCATGCTGGTTTCCCAAAACTGTCAGACAAAATGTAGAGGTAGAGTGACCGAGTGTGACTGGACACTGAACAAGATTTCCTGAGAGGGGTGAAAGAGGCTATTCACATCAGGGCCCATCACCCTTCACTGTTGACGTCACACTTTAGAGAAGCCACGTGACAAGTCTCACTGGGTCAGTCTACTGAGGAAGACCGTTCTTTGTGTTGGAACAAAAGTTTCAACTGTAAACAGTTCTACAGCTATACTGAGTATACAAGTACAATGTACATGTACTGTACCTTCTGTTGCTTCTTCTACCACAGGACTGTCTATTACCACCTGGTCTGGCTCACCAACATGTTTGCCTGCAAACATACAAAACAATTATTACACCTAATACTAAACTTTTTGAGCACCCAATTTTTTAGGTTGGGTGCACCAGTGCACCTATTCCCAAAAATGAATTTCGAGCCCTGCATGTACTAGTATATAGAAAAATGTGTTTTAAGCCCTACCTTGGTTCTTGGTTGTCTGAGCGTCCACAGCCCTGCCAGGAGAGTCCAGTGGTTTGGTGCTGTCCTCCATCACAGCTGGACCCTCCAGTAGAACCACCTCCGTGGACGGACTGCCTGCCACAGTCTCCATACTGGGGAGGGGCTGAACACCACCATCACTGGTGTATCTGCAACTGGGAGACAGTGCAGAACTTTATTATGTTTACCCAAGGAAAACATATTGTTACCTCCATGAAAAATGGAGGTATTGTTTTTGGTGTGTTTGTGTGGGTGTGGGTGTCTGTCTGTCATAATGTTTTTGCTCTGTTTCTTCTTCTTCTCCAAACCAATAAGGTCAATGACCTGAACCAGGTGTCTGTCACCATGGTAACTAGTGTTGGGTTACATCATGTTGCAATTTTATAGCAGGAGGGATTTAAACTCCTGTCTGACCATATAGTATATGAATGTGTTTCAGTAAGAATTAACAGAGCAGACCATATGTGAAGGTAAACATTCTGCATTTGCTTTGCATTTAATGTTAAGTTTCTCGTGTATATTTTCATTAGTTGTATGGACTGGCAAGATGACAAGGATCCAGGAGACTGACTGTCATGAGGGCCTGCAAGCCCTTTTTCATAAGGCGTAATCAGGCCGTTTTTGACTTCGTAATTCGTAGGCAGCCTCCGCAAAAAGCAACGTAATTTGTAATTGGACATTAGCCGCAAATCGTAAAGTCGTAATCAGCTCTGAGACTTTAACGTAATTCGTAATAGGCGGCGAAAATTTTGCATAATTCGTAATCACTACCCCCCCTTGCAGGCCCTCTGTCATCACCTCTGAAGTGCAAATAAAATAAACTTTGAAACAGGAATGGGAGTAAAACTTAAGTTTGGCATTGAGCTCCGGTGTGTTTGGCTTTAATTTCCTTGACTGTAGGTAACCTGAGCAGTGCTCCTGATTATCCTGACAAAGGGATAGCATGAGACTCTGGGAGCTGGACAGTCTCACCTTTGCCATCCACCCCTGGGCCAAATACCAGAGTCCCCGAAAATAGCAGCTACTCTCATTTCTCCTGCTCAAATCAGATCAAGATGTTGAAGCTCAGAATCCCACACTGCTGGGTGACAAGTGGCTACAGGCTATGTTCACTTTGTGATGGATATTCTATATCTAGGCATGTTTAAAGATTTTTCACTACTCTAAACATTGTTGTTTTACACATTTTTTTGTGCTATAAGCCTACCTGTGTTCAGAATGCATTTTGGGAAGTAAAAGAAGAACATCGTTGCACAGCAAAAACTTCTTGGATTTAGCTACAGTAGATACCCAAATAAAAATCACTGTTTGTTTACATTATTTTTAGGAGCCTCCTAAAAATACAGAAGGCCTGGCATAACTTATTATCGTGATGCAGTGAAAGCAAAATAACAATGCTAATATGTTGAAAGTTATTAAAAATGACACTATTATCTAGATGAGAAATTTTCAATTATTTATATCTACAGTTTTGGTGCAAAAATCTTACATAATATCTGCACTAGTTCATAGTTCACAGAAAACCAAGTGAGGGATTGTGTTACAGTGTTGTTGAACATGAGCTTGCTCTTGTTTAGTTTTCATCCAACTTGTTGACACTAAAACTTGCCAGAGCCGAGATCCTACAGAATCCTGGGATTACCCAGACTCAAAACAGTCGTCTGTCACATGTGGAAAGTCTGTTACTGAAGCCACAGTCACATTTTCACGACCTTCCCCCAAAATTTGTTCCCAAACACCAGCTGACCACGTCCAGGAGCAGTCTGAACAGATTTAGGCCACGTCTACCTTTCTACTAGTATGCAAATCGGAACAAAATTGAGTTAAATTTGAATCAAATTTGACCCCTGAGCACTGCTGGCTTATTTTCCGAATCTGCCATTTTAATTCCACATAGAGCTCGAGCGTAGACAGATCACTCTAATTCAACATAGAGCGTAATTGGCACATTTTGCATAGAGTGTATTTGCCATTTTAATTCCATGAAATGCGTTGTAGCCACCCACTTGAAATTTATCGTAAAGCGTAATCGAGAGGTTTCCTAAATTCAGCATAATACGTAGCCAGCTCTCAAAATTTACCATAGAGCGTTGTCAGCTCCCCCCCCCCCATTAATAGCTGAATTGGCAGAACAACAACCATATACATGTGTATATACGTTTATAATATTATTATTATACATATATATACTAACCTGGGGAGGCCTGTCCACTTCTCTGGCTTGCACTCAATACTGTAGGACAGAAAACAAGTGTCAGACTTCCATGACAGGTAGCCAGGTTCAAGTTTATGGAAGGACAAATATACAAGTCTTATAACAGAATCACTACTGGCCTTGCTAGTAGATCATTTTGTTTTGAAGTCTACAAGTACATTTTGTATAATGATAATAGTGTAACAGTGCTAACTGACCATGCTAAATGGTCGTGCGACCTTTTAGTGTAGTGGTTAGCGTTGGTGACCGCCAAGCGGACAACTCGGGTTCGATTCCCGGTTGTGACCTGCTCGCCCCTTTCGGTTTTTACAGTGGTTCCCATGCCGGGAATCGACCTGCTCGCCCCTTTCGGTTTTTACAATAGGTTATATTATAGCATCACCATACACAAAACACATCATAGAACGAAGGTACACATACATACATCAACAAACTGTCATGATGAGTCATTGACACAAATAGTACACATATTCATTTATGTATACACATACAAATTACATATTACAAACATGACACACCCACATATACACTCTCAAATCTGCCTAAGCTAACTACCCAGGGGACCAAAAAAGTATGTAATGCCTTGGATAGTCTTGAAGAGGATAGACATAGCATACTTAATTTAAGTTTGGGATAGATTTTGACATATAAACTTTATGGTTCTAGCCTGATGCTACCGGTACTTGCAAAGAGCCTTTGGGAGAGAATTTGAACTTACTTAGAGAGAACTTACTTACATATCATAATACATTGAGTGTGAAACTTCAGAGTTTTGGATAAATGTCGATTTTATAGTCTGCTGACTTACTGAGGTTGTGAGAAGTTAAGACAAGTTTCCCAGTTGGTACCAGTAGAGTTTTCTGACAGAATGCTGTCCTCTCTCCTCATCAGCTGGTTTACGTTAGTCAGTTGGTGCGTGGTCCTGACGGCAGGAAAGTTAGTGGTGGTTGAGAAACTCTCCCAGCACTGTACAGCATACTCGGCCTGCGGGGAGCCCCAGTGCATGGAGTACGCGTGGAAACCCGCCCGTCCCGCAGAAATCGGCGGTACGCTACGCTGCCAGGGCGACCAGTGGAACATGGCGGCTCGCGCCACCTGCTCCGACACGGAGACTTCCCTCTGCATCGCGTGTGGATCCCCACACCACAAGCCCAGCCTGCTGGCATGGACACAGTATTTATACCAACAGGCATTATCACTACCTCCATCAGTACTGAGGCTCACATTCCCTCGATCAATCAGGACCCTACCAACTCAGCCAGACTCGTGCCAACTCCGCAGATCACATTTCTTGACCATTTCTCCCGACTTCTGGACTCTGCTGACCCTCTGAGGGGAGGGGATGGGAGACTTGATTGGACACATGCTTGTCTTGGTGATCTCTCCTGGTCCAATCCGACACAAGCTCACCTCAGCCCTACTTATGGCCAGATCACCTGGCTCACATTAGACATACTTGCTGGGAGGTGAATGGCTCATGGATTAAAGACATCCAAAGCAATTTGAGGCCAGCAAAACTGGAAATATTATGAACAAGGCAACCTGTATGATATTGATATTATACTGCCCCACATTTGCGTCAGTATTTCGTATTTCAGTAGTTTAAAACAGCACAGAAAGAAGCACCAAGAATAGTCCTTTATTTTCTGGGTAGTAGTACTGGTACCCCAAAAATCAGCACAGGACCATACCAGGAATGGTAACCGTTTCTCGTCATAATTTCAGCAATTTTTACTCCATATGAATGTCGAGAAATTATACATTGGGATAGTGTTGTTTCAACTAATTACTAGTATATATTTATATACTAAGTGGCTAGAACATTGACTGCACTACATGTACATGCACTAGCTAGGTAGATACATTGATACTGGGAGACAGCATTGGAACTTTTGTTGAGACTAATTTTACCAGATGAATTGGCAGGACTGTCTACTGCCTGTCTCATCAGCTATGTTCAGAATATAATAACCTGAGCCCTGCTGGACAGTTCCACCCAATTAACTCATGAACATGATTATCTCTGACTGAAGATCCCCTGGGGGGAAAAGAAAACCTGCACTTTTCAGCTGATTGACATAACTAGACTACAGGCCATGTTACTATAGCTAGTACTGCCACTTGTACTTTCATTGATACATCTTACCTCAATATTACACATACTAGTAAGCCAATAAAGTTGACTTCAAGTTATACTTCATTTTTTTGTTGTTGTCATACATACTATCCTCACTTCAGAACATTCAATATTGAAATTTTACTTTCGGGACAATGCTGAGCCGATCAAAGGAAAAGAGTTAATTTCTACAAGATCTTTTTTCTTGTCCTGTGCTGTCCTGTCCTGTCCTGTCTTGTCCTGTCTTGTCCTGTCTTGTCCTGTCTTGTCTTGTCAGCAGGGCAAGTTATAGTCTTGTCTTGTTTTGTCTTGTTAGCAGGGCAAGCCTTTATTTGGCTAGTTGGGCTGCCCTGGCTGTGTGTAACAGCCTAAACTGACAAATAAAAAGTTCCTTTATGTCCAACACATGGTCTTTGTGCATATATCTTGAGAAGTGGTGGGAAGCATCATGATCATATACTGATGGGAAACTCCGATCCTCCTGCCAAGACTTAACTCAAACCACCAGCCTGACCTGCAGCAGGGTGAGCTAAATTAGGTCATTTTCAGGTGCTGCCTGTGTCAGAATGCCGACTATGTGCCCGGCGCTACAGGGGTGTGTCAGCTCATATCAACAGCAGCGTGGAATGGACTTGATAGATGGGAATCTTGTGGACACCACTGGGTCAGTGTACAAGGTGAAGAGAATCAGACCAGACAGTTCACATCTATTCTTATCACAACAAACTTCAACATCAAGAACTAAAGAGTTCTATCACCCCATACCTACACCTGCACTATTGTAGAATTACACTATGAACTTCAAGCCACATTATGTAACAATACATTAGGACAATATAAAAAGTCTGGTCATTTCTTTACAAAGTCAATTGAATCAACCCTACCTCAGGAGGTGCCTGCAAGTGCCTTCAGGAAGTGTAGGTGCCAAAATATGAAGCCTAACAAGTGTTTGTTTACATTTGTGGCCATGTTTGTTTACATTTGTGGTAGTTTGTGGTGGCACCACAAACTGAGTGTGCCTCATGTGGGCTGTTTTCTGAAAATTACAATCACAAGAATTTTTCTTGAGTTTGAATAAAAAAAATTTTCCAGCAAAATTGTTACATAATAGAGTCCGTAGTTAACACAAAAGCTCTTAAACACCATTGAACCCCCAGTCTGATTTTTTCAGTCTGCAAAATTGCAAGTTGCTTAATTTTTCTTCTGCAATATTGAAAATGTCTCTGCAAAATGCAGACTGCAGGTGGGTATTTCTAACACTGATATACATCACTGGCCTATTTAGTACTGATTTATGTCAGTGGACACCTGGAGTTGATCTGAAGACCCAACACTATAAGGACAGGCAGAGGTAAATCAGGGACAAGTCTGATATGTGATAATCTACTGACTAATACATACTATCAATCAACCATGCTACATGAACTGATAGAGACTATCTACAGTGTTCTAGCCAGTGTTCCTCTTTAGTCATTTGTAGGAACTTTGCTGCTCATGATCGATGGACAAATTTTTGAACAATCCGTGATTTTTGACAGATAAAATCAGCACGTAAAGAAAGTTCTTTAACTATTAAACATACATTGAAGAGTCCAGTTCAATATATTTAGCCCTTTGTGTGACCAATTAGAATCAAGAACACATGGGATGCACAAATTCAAGTAATACACACACAGTGGATCTGTATCTGATCAACCTTGATCTAAAACACATGTAGGAAGACCAGGCTGGGCCTATTGGGGTAATAAGATTTCTGGCCAAGGAACAATTCTAACCATAACTTTTTTTTTCATTACTAGCATCTATCAATGCCTATCTGTTCGTAGGTTTAATACATTATAACATCTATTAGATTCTTATCATTTCTACCACATGTTGTTATCACCTGTTACCATGTAGCCTATTCATGGGGGCCTGCATGGGGGGTCCTGGCTACAACGCATTACGTAGAATTAAAACGGCGAATACGCTCTATGCAAAATGACCCAATTATGCTAGATGAATTAGAGGGGTTCATCTACGTTCTACGTAGAATTGAAACGGCCGATTACACTCTACGGAAAAGGGCTTGTGGGCCCCCCTTCATAAGATGGGTTCTCTCCACTGATCAGCTTTGAATCTTTGGCCAGGGGGATGAAAGATTCCTGTACAAAGGCTAATTGTACTTGGCCTTGACTACTAGTGGTAATAATTATGCTTTGAAGTTTGAACAATCTAATAACTATATGTCAAAACAGAGTAAGTCAGTCTCAGTCCAACCAATGCCTTTAGAAGTTGATGTTTCTGACTTATGGAGAAGAAACGCTGCCTCGGTTCAGTGCCTAAAAGTAGCCCTAGGCCTTAGGTTGCTTTGCAGTGAGAAAACTTGTTAAAAAATGAAAATGTAGATTTCCTTCACACCTTAACTGCACGATTACATCAATTTACACCATCTCATTTTGTGAGAAAAAGCAACAGATTTTCAATACATGTACCAGCAATGACAATGGTTCAAAAATCAAAGGGCTAATCTGCATGCAGATTCTTCGGTGACAAGACAGTATTACTACTAGTATCAATTGGCCAGAGGATACTGTCTTGCAATTGCCACCAAATAAAGGATCTGCTTGGAGATTACTACAGGCATGGACATGTGCAATTCGTGCCTGAAGTTGTAATGCAGGTTGAGTCCTTTCCAACCTTGTGACTTACTAACTCTGCCACACCAGAATGGGTCAGCAGCTCCACTGTAACAGAGACAAGTTCTCATTTAAGTTCCATCCAGCCAATTTCAGCTAATTCATTTCTGACTTTCATACTGGGACTATTTCAAAAGAACAACACACTACCGAGGAACCCCTGGAGATTTCCCAGTCTCCACACTTGAACTTATTACTGTGGGTTCAGATTGGTCCTAATGTCGCCCAAATGTCTGCATGGTGGGGTGAGAGGAGGGTCTGGAGCTAATATTGAGGCAGAACGTTGGAGGGTCTGGATCGGCTTTGCGGTTGCTCGCAGTCCCTTTGATAGTAAATCTGTCACGAAGTAAAAATTCCCAATTTGACCTTCTCTTCACAATAAAGATTGAATTATTTCTCTACTAATGCTATGTATCTAAACGTAACATCTGGTACAGGTATCAGTACAGATGTTTTACTTCGACAAATGGACTATGATCATCCTCCAATTTTTTTTTTTCAAGAAATGCTCCTGCAGTTTCAGAACAAGCAGCTAGGGGGCTTAAACTCCTGTCACTTCTTTCTGAGCACATTAGAGCTACCTACCAGTGCTACCACCTAAACTTTGTAACCAAGGTTTGTGACCATAGCATATCCAGTCAGGAGGTATAAAACCCGTGTTAACAGTGGGGGGGTTTATAGGCACTACCAACTGATTTGTCTGGCGGGTGTAGACCTTTCAGCCGAATGGTTATGAGCTGGTGCCCGCGTTTGGCATGGGTTTGATTCCCGGCCCGAGACCAGGCCCGAGACCAGTGTCTTTCGGTTTCTACTCTCCTAATTATTTCTTACAACCGGAAGTTCCATTGGAGTACCATAACAAGTCGCTAGGGGGGTTGTACTCATTCAGTCATTGTTGAGTTATGTGTAAACCTAGCTCGATGGTGAATTAAATTGCACGTAACGCTTGCAGACCCTCTTTATTGGGAGATGTGAAAAGAATATCTTGACAGTTAACAGACTGAACAATTATGTAACGATAGAGTTGATCTTCAAGTTGATGTGTCTGTGTTTCCCTGCGAAAGAACACCCCCCTCCCCCTTCACTCCCCGCCCCTCCCCCTTCATGCACCTCTAAGTCTAACAGTTACCTTCGTGTCCTCCCCCAAGACCTGTTTATGTTCGTCAACTTGTATGGACACGTTATCATTTTAAACAACAAATATCCTGTCGTTGATTCTGAGCCGAAATTTATCGTGAAATCACTAAAAGTGCGTAACAGACATTTAATTTGAGGTGGGGGAGGGGGGCTACATGGGCGCCGCCATCTTGTCTGTTTGTATTTTGCCGAGTTTACGTCGTTTGTTCCAGCCTCTATGAATCAAAACAGACACGAACCCATGTCCTGGGACGTCTGCGCGTATGTGTACTTACCTCTCACTGTCTATGAAGGATTGAAGGCATCATTAGACAGCGACAGAATAACGCAGCAGAAGTTTCTACGGCAGTCTGCTAGTACGAAAGACCATAGGTACAAAGCTTGTACCAACTAGTAAAAAATAAATCAGCGCATCGGCAGAACGTACTGCGCCTGTGCTAAACTCGTAATGCATTGTGCATAGCGCATCGGCATGGTAGACATCGGCAGAACTTCGCCACAAGAAACTATTCACAGCCATTTTTGTTTGAATAAGGCCATGTTGATTTGATTATCTGGATGACATCCTCTGGAAACCCGAAAACTGCGAATAAAACAAAGTTATCATTATCAAATCCATGGTCATAAAGGTTGAAGAAAAGACTAAACACACGTACGTACATTGATTTGAATTTCCTATCTGTGGTTGTAGTGGAGAATATAGGATCTTCAATATTGTAATGTAAAGTGAAGGAGCTTAAAAAGCATGAATGATGTTTTAAGCTTCTTTACAAATTTAAAGTAAATCCTACAGATACTATTGTTTTTGCGATGCCTTCCAAAGTAAAGAATACTAACGTTAACGTTAGTATATTACGTACAGTATTCAGAATCATTCTCATCTTCCCGCCTGCTCTATTTCTTTTCATCTTTTAGTCGTTAACATCCAAGTAAATAGCCCCACGACATATACCCCGGTATGTGGGTATCATAAAGAGCTTATACATCATTCAGCGGAATTGTCCACCCGCCCCGTCCCAAGCTCGGGCCCTGTCCCGCTGAAGTGTCTCTGTCCCCAGTTCGGGGCTTGTCCCGTTGCGTCTCTGTCCCCAGTTCGCCTTGTCCCGTTGCGTCCCCCGTGAGTTCGGGCCCTGTCCCGTTGCGTCCCCAGCTCGAGCCCTGTCCCGTTGCGTCCCCAGCTCGAGCCCTGTCCCGTTGCGTCCCCAGATCGGGCCCTGTCCTAGCGCAGTGTCTCTGTCTCCTATGCGAGGCCAGTCCTGCCGCAGACCGGCACACTTTGCGGCACACCTCGCACGTGTGCTCCAGCACCTTCGGACAGTCCTCCTCATGATACACCAACACGTGCTTCGCTAAGGACAGGTAGTCCCGTACGACTTTGTCACACCTGTGCTGAGAAAAGACCCGAATGACTTAAAGTGATATTATGTAAGATTTTTGCGCCAAAACTGAAAATAATTGAAATTTTCTCATCTAGTTTGTCATTTTCGATAACTTTCAACATACTAGCGTCGCGCTATTTCGCCAACTCAGAGCCTAGGAGTGCGCAGTTTTCCTAAACATTTTTGCGGCGTAACGACGTTGATCTTTTAATCCCTGATTGTTATTATGAACCCAGGTAGGCTTTAATACAGAGCAAGAAAATGAGCCTGACGCCTCTCGAAGCCTGGTAGAGGCTAGCCCTACATGCCCGGGCAGTAAGTAAAGTACGTAAGCACCTGTAACACCTGTACGGAAGACTGGAGGAGTTTTCTCCGGGTTCTGAGGACAAACCGCCGAGTTTCAAGTCGTCTTTCTCGAACCACAGACTGGCTAGATCTTTCAACCACCGCTCCGAAAACCCTCCGAGCTTCATCTCTAGATGAAAGTCTTCCAATGCCTCCTCCAGTTGCTGACATATTTCCTCAGGCGAGGGTACACTGTGCTGTCTATTGTCCAAGTCTAAAGTATACGTAGGGATCATTTTCTCTGAACACATGGTGCGAACTCTGCTGTATTTAATAACACAGCCGATCCGGGGCTCTATGAAAGACGTTAGCGCCACTTGATGTTGTGTAGCTTCAACGATGATCTTTTGTTTACTTTCGGGAATTCTGTTCGATCGTTAACGTTATGCATCGAACTGTGACCGCATGGTTGCGCGCGTCTAGCCCCCTGTGCAGGTTTCCGGGCGGGTGGGAGTTTTTGTTTTAGGTTAGTACACTAGTAGAAATAGTTTATAGTTATTAAGTGTTATTTGCCATACATTGTATTCAATGCAATTGTTGCGCAATAAACTTGACTGTTCTGATATTCAGATACAAACCTTCTCTCGCTGCTGGTTCTAGGATGGCCGGCAAAAGAACGCGTTAAAAATCCTACAAAACGCAGTATCAAAACTCCCGCCCGCCCGAGTAAGACTAAATAAACTCCCCTTAGCCTTACGGTCGACGTGATAAAGCTCTGTCCTACATTTTGTCCTATCTCTGAATAAATATCACGTTTTCAAATATAGAGTGGATATCAACAAAGTGTCTGTGGATACAAACATACGCATATATATATTGGTGAGAATTGAACCATCTGTCCAGGCCTTTGCCAAGTATCCCCTACAAAGGTTAGGGCCCATACAGGTGTTCCATTCAGTAGTGCCCCGAAATGGAGGCACTAGGAACTATCATCGCCCTGTTGGGCATGTTGGACATGGTGTTAGGGTATGTGGGTAAGTGCCATGATTACCAAGTCTAGGCGAGAGGGCATTATTGTATTGTATATGTATTGTATAGCATATTGTATCGTAACGTATTTTATTGTATGATATCGAAGTTTTCGCCGACTATTAGAGTAAAACGTTAGGGTTTGGTGTAACCTCGCCGATTGTGTCACTAAGCTTATGTAGTACATTGAACGTAATTCATATATTCAAATATATGTACACCGGCTGTTACTTGTCCCAAGGACATTATATAATGATATTATATAAATATATTAGTATAATAATAATTCATGAAGACAATTTATACAAATATAAATTATATAATGTCCTTTCTTTTACCTTTTTCTTTTCCAAACAATCTACTAATTACTATTACGTGCTAAAACGTATTGTCCTTTCATTTTTCGAGCTATACTATAAAAGTTACCATTTCACTAAGTTACACTACGAATTTTCATTTGCAGTAAAAGTAATAGAACACATTACAACTGCACACACTACAATACAAACTTAAGATCATTTGTATCCTATTGTCAATGTTTAACACTAAATATGTATGTAGCATTAAGTTTGAATCAACAGAATTAATCTCGTTTATATATGAGGCTGTCCGGACGCTGACGCAAGTTTGACACCCTGGGACCCCGGACATGACGAAACAGCTCGTGTCGTCATTTCCTCTGGGCAAAACTACCTTCTGATTGGTTCGGCAACTTTTGAAAGTTTGGAGATAAGGGGAGGTAAGTCGTAGCTACGTATGTTCGTCTCTGTTTTTGCTCTGTTTCCTCTTCCGTTCCAAACACTGACCTGGTCAATGACCTGAACCAGACCGTCTGTCACCATGGTAACTGGTGTTGGTTTACACAATGTTGCAATTTTATAGTAGGAGAGATTTTGACTTCAGTCACCATATATGTGAATGTGTTTGAATTAACAGAGCAGACCATATGCGAAGGTAAACTTTATGCATTTGCTTAGCAGATGTTACCGTTCTAGTTCTATTTAATTTCTAGGGAAGCTAGTTTTTGCCGACAACGGAAATGACATCACCCTTCGAGCGAGGAGCATTCTTGTCGGAGCCGCCGGCGAGCTGCACGTGGGTTCCGAAAGTTGCCGATACCGCGCGAAGGCGACGATCGTCCTCTTCGGGCGCTCTGACGAAGGCGCCGAGGACCCGAGGTTCGGTCGGAAGTTCGTCGGAGTCGAACCCGGAGGGACGTTGGAAGTTCACGGTCAGAGGAAACTGTCGTGGACCCAACTCGCCAAGACTGTGGGAGAAGGTAAGTCACTGTAGCAGGGAAAAGTCGATAGGAAACTGAACTTTCATTTACCTGGTTTTCAGGGCATTACAAGTGAAAAATCCTGTATAAATCGTTAGTCACGTGACCAAATGAGTAGTGGGTCATTCATATTGAGGAAGGATAGAGGGTATTTGATATAATAGTACGAATATGTTGAAATGTGGAAATTGCAATGAGACGAATATTTGTTTATAGAATATTTTACTTTTCAATTTTCGGCGCAAAAATGTTGCATGATGTCTCTTTAAAGTCCAAAGTATGACAGTGTCCCTTCTCGTTTCTACAGGAGGACTTCCCTACGGCTCTTTCAGCGCCCATGAGCGGTGGGAAGACTGTTCCACCAGGGCTGAACGCGGCATCAGCGTGCTGGTAGTGGACCCGGCCACGGCAGCTAGGGTGGACTATGGGTCGTTCGACACTTACCTGGACTGGGCAGAGAGTGACCGTCTGGTCAACTTTCTGGACAAAATACCGGACGGGTGCGTGGGTCTAGCTGATTCATACTTGGATATTTTTAGATATTAAAGTGATCTTTAAATATGTAAAACAAGGGACCTATGGAATTTCCTTATCAATTATGCAAATTAATTCATTATTTGCATACTATGCATCTCATTGGTTACATCTCTGTCTAAGCATGACCTACACGCTTAGATTTACGAAAATCGGCCGTTGTTCATCACATCACTTTGTTTTGTTCCGCCATGTAGGTTCATAGTGTCCATGGGTGTGTTAGCTGAAGGGTCGGAAAAACTGAACACCGCCGCCAAAAACGCCATCGCAGCGCTTGGGAGTAACGTCATCCACACACTGGGGTTCAGGTCGGTATCTGTCCGCTGACATTCATGTTTTTATATTTACCGGTGGGAAACATGTTGTTTTTGCTCGGTTTCTTCTTCTTCCGTTCCAAACACTGGCCTCTGACGTGGTGAATGACCTGAACCAGACTGTCTCTCACTATGTTGTGTTACATAATGTTGCAATTTTATAGTAGGAGGGATTTAGACTCACCATGTATCTTTTGTCTATACTTTCCTCTGTGACGTGTTGTACATATTCATTGTTGCTAGTATTTTCTTTCTCATCGTTCTCATCAAGTCTGTTCTTTCCATAGACAATATTGGGCATTTGTGGCTGTCAAGGGAGACCCAAACTCAGCCGTGGAAGACACAGTCATGTACTCAGGTACAAAAATACTACATAATGCACTTTCATAGATGTAGACTTTTCTTGTAATTAAATCGAAAAAAATGCACACATATACACACCAGGTCGGCTAGCATAATGGAACGAACAAGAGGTCGGTTATTTCGATAACCAACCACCTGTTGGCTGGTCAATGGAATTACGGTCTGCTGGTTGGTCAACGTCATCTGGCATATCACTTCTGATGATAAACATACGTGTATCTCGACAGTACAAATTCTTTGCTTTACCCGTTGATGGTAATTTACAATTAACAAGGTTTGAATTATATATGAAGTACATTCCTTTCCCTAGTAACGGAAGACACTCCGGCGACAGCTGACAAGGTCTTCACGACAAGTGACGGGGTAGAGTTCAGGGTTAGCGCTGCCAGCTGGTGGGCCAATGGTAAGTGAATAAAACTGTAGGTCAATGACCTGAACCAGACCGTCTGTCACCGTGGTAACCAGAGTTGGGTTACATAATATTGCAATATTATAGTAGGAGGGATTTAGACTCCTGTCACTATATATGTGAATGTGTTTGAGTACGAATTACCAGAGCAGACCATATGCGAAGGTAAACATTATGCATTTGCCTTGCAAATGTTACCTTTCTAGTTGTCGTTTTTCTTCCTCAGGTCAAAAGCACTTGGAGATGTCTGTAGACGCTGTGTCACCGGATACAGTCATCAGCTTGAAGGATGACGTCACTTCCTGGCAGCCCGGGGACCGTATCGTGTTGGCGAGCACGGATTACAACATGGAGCAGGCGGAGGAGTTCCAACTGGTGAACTGCCAGGAGTGCTCCACCCACCAGGTCAAACTCGCAGGTGAAATCTCTTAGTACATGTAGCTTCGTCTCATTTCTGAAATATATCGGAAATATCTGAAATAAGGATCCGCCCAAAGACAGGTGTGCCAAAGAATTCATACGAATTTTACGGAATCCATACGAATTTTATGAAATACATACGATCCTTTACAATGAAACACACAATCCTTACTAATTTGGTAACCTGCGCCTGGATGACTAAATTAGTACAGATCGTATGTTTCCGAGTAACGGATCGTATGTATTCAGTAAAATTCGTATGAATTCCGTAAAATTCGTATGAATTCTTAAGCACTCCTGAGAGGGGTTACCAAAAAGTTAATAACGATGTCGGAACTGTAAAATAATTATATTGTTTCCCAGGCAAACCAAAGTACACCCATTTCGGCGAGATCTCGGGCGGTGTGGACATGCGCGGTGAGGTCGGGCTCCTGACCAGGAATGTCGTCATCACGGCTGAGACGGAGGACAGTTGCTATGGCAACAACTTCTGCCAGTACTTCGACTACGACACGTTTGGAGGTCATCTTAAGGTAGAAATACTTAAAAAGTTCGTATTTTCTCAATCATTGGATGTTTGTTTACGGAAGGAAAACATTGTTTTTGCTCAGTTTCTTCCTCTTCCTCTTCTTCCGTTCCAAACAAATAAAGTCAATGACCCGGACCAGACGTCTGTCACCATGGTAACTGGTGTTGGGTTACATCATGTTGCAAGTGCCTAGTGGAGTCTACAAATGTACCATCAGATTGAATCCTTCCGTTGCAGGTAGTAGGAGGTTTCACCAATGTGCACCTGTCTGGCGTGGAGATCACGAGGATGGGACAGCAGGTGCTGGGCAGCTACCCTGTCCACTTCCACATGGCCGGAGACGTGGACGAGCTCGGGGGTTACGCCAGGCCTGCCTACCTGGACGGACTGTCCATCCACCACTGTTTCTCCCGCTGTGTCACCATACATGGCACACACGGGCTCATGGTCAGATATTTTGAAACATCAGAATTTTAGCGACGCCTTTGTGGCGGAGCCGTTCAGTATAACGTTAGTCACTTTTCTGTTGTTTTTTTTTTTAATTCAAGAAGTTATGAAGGAATTTTCATTAGACCTCAAAATGATTAGTTTTGGGGCTCCCTAGTGGTTTATCATGGTACTGAAGCAGATTGTCTTTACTTTCCTGTCGTCTTTTATTTGAAAAAAAAAAAAAAACAAGATGAAGCTATTCTGTTCCTCAGGTGAAGGATACAGTCGGGTACGACACCCTCGGCCACTGTTTCTTCCTGGAGGACGGCGCAGAGCAGCGAAACACCCTGGACCACAACCTCGGGCTGGTGACGCGGCCCGGGGCCCTGCTCCCGACCGACAGGGACGAGGCCATGTGCCGAGGGATCCGCACCGGGGTTTACGGCGACTACATACCCCAGCATAGCGAATGTCTGTAAGTCAACATGGTGGTCAAATTTGGGCCTAACTTCAGGTCCCACCCGAATCATGTTCGATCTAACGTAATTCGAACCGAACGCGTGTTCGATTTGGGGTAAACCAAACTCGTGTTCGATTTGGGGTGAACCGAACGCGTGTTCGATTTGGGGTCACCCGCGGTCATTTACAGTAAACCTGGGGTTTTCAGGCCATTTTTACATGAGTACAGACAGAAATCATCACAAATATCAACCGTTTTCCTTATCACAGATATTAATACTTGTCTGTAGGGCCGTCTCCACATTCTGGATCGCCCATCCAAACAACAATCTCATCAACAATGTCGCAGCCGGATCCGTGGTAAGTCTCGTACCTTGTCGCAGGGCGCGAAATGTGGGGAAGTGCTTTCATTTTATGCGTCCTTGTTTTAGTGTATTTAACCATAGCCTTCAATGGCCGAACCTAATAGTGATATCTGCCCTCTAACTTTTGATCCAACACCATAAAGTTCACTCAGCTAGAGCTTTTGACCAGTCACTCTGGTCTTCTTCGGTAGACTGACCCAGGGAGACTTGTCACTTGGCTTCTTTGAAGTGTGACGTCAACACTGGGTCAAAGGTATCTGGTAGACGATGTCGGCCCCCGTCGCGGTTGAGTGAAGGGTGATGGGCCCTCATGTAAATAGCCTCTTTCACCCCTCTCAGGAAATAGTCTTGCTCAGTGTCAATATTGTTCCCTCTATGGCCAACAGCACTTCGGGATTTGGTATCTGTTCCACCACGAACCGACCGGTCTGTCAGCGGGGACGCTCCCGCCTGGTCAGGCAGAACATGCGCCGCTGGGAAAATTCTACAACAACAGGGCACACTCCAACTTCAGGGTACTGACACGCACTTTTTTTAATAATCTTTACAAAATCATGCCGGAAGGCTAGTTTCTTAAATAGGGCCAAAGAAAGTTAAGTATAAGTAAAGCAAAGCAAAGAATGAGACATGCGGCTACTATCTGATCAACTTATACTATTACGTACGTTCACAGGTCAACGATTTCGACTGAAAATTAATGGTAATATTTTTGTGTTGGAACTAAGCTGATGATTCATGTTTACAGCAAGGACTGATGGTGGATAACGGAGTGAAGACAACCCAAGCTTCAGCAAGCCACCCTGCAGAGTTCCTCTCCAAGATCACATATATAAAGTAGGTCCTCTATCTATCGTACATCGTGTGCCAACTTAAAATGTTACAATAATTACAATTTCTTACTTTTTGGTCCAAAACATCGTATCAGTTGAGGCCCAATGGCTAACTCAAATCCTTTTAGATTTAGTTTTGTTTTAGATTTTATTTCGATTCTGGTACCGTAATCACGTGACGTTGTTTCAGATACCACCCGCACGTGGACTCCGATCCCAGCAAGCCCCGCGTGCCGGCGGTTTTTGACGGGTTCATCTCGTACAAGAACGCCGGACAGGCCAGCTGGCTGAGAGGGGGCGACATCGTCGTCAAGAACTGCGCGTAAGTTCTGCAATCTACAAACAGCTATATTTAAGCACACCTAGCTATATGTAACGTCCCTGTACCTTTTTGTATGCGACATAATAAAACTGCTTTATCGTCTAGGTAGTAATTGAACAAATATACATAATAGTTGCTCGAGTAACTGTTTTTGTGCGTATTTTTCAGTGTTGCAGATACCACGGATATGACGTTTGCAAGGTATTTCTATATACATTCCTTTCAAACCTGTACGAGTTTCTGTCTTAAGTGATTTTATTAGTGCATTTATGAATATGATCATGACGGGCGTCTCTTACTTTTCCTTACCACTGAATCTCTATCAGTTTCTTTTACTTCATTCATTCATTCATTCATTCATTCATTCATTCATTTAATATTTCGACATTACCTTGGATTTCTTCACTGGCAACGTTAGCGAGGGCGGTCCGATGGGTTCCGGTGACGAGGGCGCCCTGCAGGTGATCAGTAACTGTGTGTTTGTGGGAGAGAGCGACAATCTGGGGAACTGTAAGGACCGGGGGCGTGACGTCAGCTGGGCCGCGGGGGCTGACGGGAGATTCAGGACTCTGTCAAAAGGAGGGTAAGAAGTTAATAATCTCCAAGCAAAACTTTCGGTTGCAAAAAAGTGTCAAATTACAAATTGGCCAGGCAGTATCCATTTGCCAAGTAGTTACCTAAAAGATACCGGTACAAAAAAGTCCAATATAAAATGGCATAAAAACACTCAGCCTAAGCCTAAACATTGTAGTACAACATGAACTAATTTTAGCCATTAAAATACTACTTATACTACCGCAACATGAACTAATTTTAGCCATGAAAATAGTACTAATACTACCGCATTACATAAAACATATAAATGTAACATATCAGCAAAGAATCCTCCCTGTCAAATGTTTTTTCTAGAATCAAAAAAGCTATAGATCTCAGATCTACAAATATGAAAATTATTGTTGCTGATTATAATTAACAAAATTCATGTTTCAGACAGTACCCATACCGTGGGTTTGAGATCTATGACGGCCCAGTGGCGATCGAGAACTGCACGTTTAGGAACTTCCGCGTGACCTCGGCCAGACCTGGGGTCAGCGCCCTCGGGTTCCAACTGGAGAACCAGTTTCAAATGGCGGTGTCCAACGCAGTCATCAACGCGAAATTTGAAGAGGTACAAAATGACTGATAAACTTGTGGATATTGGCTCAGAAATTTTCGAAAATAGCAAGAAATAGTCATAGCATCAAGTATCAAAGTTGAGATGTTCAAAAACTTATTTTATCCTACCAAGAACAGTAGAGGCATCATCACTAGATAGCTTTAAACAATGTTTAGCGATACAACTTGAAGTACGATTTTGAAATATATTCTCTGCTATGTGGCCACACTTGGTCTGAAGTTATTAGAACCTATGTTCCAACACAAAGGATCCTTCTCACCTAGAGCTTTCGACCAGTCACTCTGGTCTTCTTCAATAGGCTGCCCTAGTGAGAGATGTCACGTGGCTTCTCTAAAGTGTGACGTCAACATTTTATGTTATAGGTATAACAAGGAACTCTATTTCCCAATATATCAGGTGGATCTGAGGGTGAACTTCGGAGCCCCAGGAGACCGACACTTCGGTCAGATGAACCGGGAGGGGGACAAGATGGGCTCCTTCCACGACGAAGACGGGTCCGTTACCGGGTATGTCGGCAGTCATGTTTTCTACAGCGGTAACCACCTGGCTAAAAACCCTGGATGTGTAGAGCGGCCGGACTGGAACGCTATGATATGCAGCGGCAACTATGCAATGGTCAGTTATCTTCCTTGTATGTGAGGCACTTGTACCCCTCAGTGTTTTTTCACGGTGCGGTTAACATTCCATCAAGTTGTAACACCAGGTTTGGCTGACTTTCGGGGGGTAGTCTTACCAGATTTTATCCAAGCCTACGTTTCCATGCTAATCGAAACGAATTTGAGTTCGATTCAAGTCACATTTGACCCCCGGACACGCCCCAAACACTACTGACTTACTTCCGGATGGCTGGCTGGTATTCTGCTGAGTTACAGCCGAATACCAGCAAACCATATGGTCGAACCTTCCGACCAACCCCAAATGTCTTAAACATTTTAAACCAGCCGAATAGCAATCACTTCGCCGAACACCTGCCGACTTTGCGTCCACCTGTTCCTAACCATGGTGCTGGGTGGCGCTCGGCTAGTGTTCGGGCCAGTCGGGGGACCATATTTGTGCATGTGCCTGTGACGGGCTTAACGAAGTGCTTTTCCCTCGACAACTAGTTGTTCATGGAGGTAGAGAAGCCCAGCACCAACGCCATGCTCCTGGTACGGGACGAGTACCCTGCCGACCCTGTCACGCTGGAGGGGCTGAACCAATCCCCGGGGAACAGGCAGAAGCACAACCCGGTCATCACCGTGGACACGTCCTACACCGTACACTGGACCGGCAGGGCCCCGGAGAAGTTCAAGATCTACCCCGCTCACTTCAACAAGTACGTTTCTGCGGTAGACAGATGCAAGGATATCCATTAGCTTCGCAAATTGCCATTTTTCCTATTACAACTGGGGCTACGGAAAATTGGGCTCAAGTCAAGAAACAGTGATTAACAGTAGATGAACAATGGTACACAGTGTTGTTTTGATACATTAGTACATAAACCATTAGTATTTAGCGTTATAATGTTTCATTTCAATTTTCTATACACTCCACGTTTCACATTCTCTAGACCACATATGGACCATTGGCAGGAATATGAGAGATATCAAAGAGATATCAAAGATTCGTCAGAAGGATGACGGCTGAAGCTAACAGTACCGGTTTTGACTTTTTATTACAGAGTATTCATCAGAAATGATGGCAAGAATATAGAATAACGTTTTCTTAATATATTTGTGCTCAGGGACAACTGGGTCCGCCTGGGTCTGTGTTACCCGCCCGGCACGACCTTCAGAGTGACGTACCTCATCGTGAACCGCGTCACCGGTGCCCAGACCGACTGGCAATGGATCGAACCTGCATCCGACCTGGCGGAGGTGGAACAGGGCGACGGGTTCAACTACTACTGGGATGACAGCACAGGGTAAGACGTAATAAAATAAGGACGTGAAAACTACACTAATCTCCAGGCAGATGGTATCAAACAGTAACTGCCACGTCATTCCAAATCTTGAAACAAATCTTTGAAGGATACAATAGGTATTCATCAGCATTGATGTTCTGTTCCCGATGACCCGAAGTGGAAAAAAAGGTGAAACTTTGGAAATGTTAAAAATTGGCCCAAGTACAACACCCTGTTGTACACCCTGACCTTGGAATAGCCGTTTAGAGTTTTATAGACTAAGTACAAGATATAGACATGGCCACGTGGTGTATTTGGAAGTTCCCAGATATGCTAATATATCGTACATTTGGCCTTAGTAGTGAATGTTTTTCTTTTCTATGTAGCCTTCTCTTTGTAAAGGTTAAAGCCCACTACGCCCGGACTGGTGAGAAGGAATACAGCTACTGTTCCAACATGGGATGTGAACGCATTTTCATCGAGGCAACCATGACATCTAATGACGTCAGTAACTGCATGACGTCAGCCTATCCCAAATATGGCCTGTCACCGTCTCCCGGCCTTCCCATGATGCTCAGCCAGCACCAGTGCAATGACTGTGGGGCTAAGGTAAGTACAAAAGGATCGGTATGACAATTGGTCTTTGGTGTCATTTTTACCTCCACGAAAAACGGAGGTATTGCTTTTGGTCTCTGTGTGTGCGCCTGTGTGTGTGTGTGTGTGTGTGTGTGTGTGTGTGTGTGTGTGTGTGCGTGTGTGTGTGTGTCTGCAGTTCCACTTATTGGTGGTCAACATAACTTTATGGATTGTGAGTATTTGGCATGTGGGTAGGTCTTAGATAGACAAAGGTCAAGGTCAAATATGGTCCTCCATAATCAATGAGACAAAATATTTGCAACAGCTATAGATATTTGATGGAGGTACGAGATCTCCGAATTCTTGTTGTGGATAATGTTTGTGTGACAGTAATAATCATAAGAATTAAATTGGCTTTTGGATCCATCAAATCAGGATTGTGTTTCCACCAGAGACAACTTAAGATATCGTTGGTTATTGCTTCATTGTTCTTAGGAGCCGATTCTCCTGGAGGAAAATGGCGCCTATGTTGATGTATCTGTGGTGTCCCGTGGATACAGTGATATGGACCTGCCGGGCCCAGCTGCTGCTATCACGGTAGGAATTTTTAGAATGTCAACTGTACGTCTGTATTTGTCAATGTCAATGTCAATGCATAGCAGCGAGCTGATTATGCTAGGAGAGTGTGGCATAAATTCTACCCAAAAGCAAGGGAATTGTTACATGAGCAACTGGATAGACATCCACTACTTTTCGTCAGTGACTGTCACTACTGATGATGCTTGAAGTACGTCTGACAGTTTTCATAACCCAGCAGGTGCTTGGGTAACAATTTCCCACTATTACCTGGATGTCTAACCTTCATTGTTTAGGTGGACGGAGTGTCGTACGATTCTAACGGTGCCTGGGGCTTTAACGTTGTCATCGTGGATGCCCAGGACGGGAGCGTCACTGCTCACGCCGTCTTCATGACCAACCGTGATCCCTCAGAAGACGCAGCGTGCGCCAACTTCCTGCGTAATGACGTGCCGAAAAAGTGAGAACTTTCGTTAAGCCACTGTCACACCTAGCCGAATATGGCCTCCCGTCTAGCCTCTACCAGGCTTCGGGAGGCGGCTGGAAAGAGTATAAATGGGCCAAATAGAGAGATAACATGCCAGGGGGGTTTGACTCTGCTAGAGAGTACAGTTTAACGCACCCGGCATGTTACCTTTCTATTTGGCCGAGTTCTCTTTCCATTCGCCCCCCGAAGCCTGGTAGAGGCAAGAATATGGCCTCCCGAGCACAGCCGAAATCCTCAACCATGGTTAGGAGTAGATCGGGGGCAAGGTCGGCTGTGGTTGGCTTGTGTTCGGCCAGGTCGGCTAGATGTCGTCTTACGGGTGTGGCTGGTGTTTGGAAGGTGGTCATAGTGAAATTTGACTCCAATTTAACTCAAATTTGATAATATTACAGGACCTGTATGTAACATACGTTGCCATATGTACTCTGTACTGCACAGCTCCGTGGTGCTTGTGAGTCTGTACGGGAATCACATCCGTTACGCCCGGGACTGTCTGGCAGCTCTAATGGAAGTCGGAGCAGAAGAGCCTGGGATCGGGATAGCCGTTAAAGGTGGGAAGTTCAAGAGCAAACGTTCGCAAATTCATGCGTTAGGAATGATAACATTTCAGCACGGTATATTGAGCACATTGGTTTCTATATTTACATATATATATCTGTATGTATAATTGTTGACTTACGAATATCAATCCAGCTGCCTTTAAGTCAGTGTAATGTACAGTTGTATTTGAAATAAATAAATATATCACATGTATAACTTAGAGGTTTCAAAGATTGAACATTGCTTTCATTGATGTCATACTAAAGGATAGAGTAATTACATGTAATTTCATTATTTCGGAAAACAACCATCTAACTGCATAGCTAAGTCCATGGTTCATCGATAAAGATATAAAGGTGTGATAAGCTTGACCAGGCCAACGCCAGATTGCAACAGTTGTTGATGATCTGATTTCAGCGAGCTATGCCCTCGTTGGCTTCAAGGGAGGCTACCGTACCAACTGGATCCGCCAGGAGGCACCACGCAAAGGAACCGGACCTGCAGTGATCCAAACCCGAATCCCTCTACTGTACTGACGTAATAGGTACATGTTGATGGCGTCTGCAAGAGGGAATTGATAAATCATGATTCCTACAGCAAACGTATCAGTTCTCAACTGACTGGCTTCAGTTGGGAGGCGTGTGTAATGTAGGTATTCCGTATCAGAGAGATGGTGAATAAAGAAATGTCTAATTGTAGTTTGCATGTCTTGTATGTAGCCTTGAGCGATGAAAAGAAAATCACCCAATATTATAAATTACTTGGAGAAACTTAATTCCACACACTCAAGACCACAAGAGGTGTAATTCTAGTACATTCCTCTAGAGGCCTGAAGTTACAGCCAGGCTGCTAGCCAAACTGGTAGGCCAGCCCGGACTTTTCCGTAAACCCTTTTCCCCTCAATGACCTTTGGCCTCTCCACCATATTGTAGTGTGTGTCAACATTTTCATCTGGCGTATATTCAACTAAATTATGCCGTAAATTCTGTATAGTGATGACCTGAAACAGTATCACAGTAACTCTGAATTACCGGTAGGAGCTTCAAGTTCAAGTCCAGTGATGTCTACAAGCGTAGAAACGGCGTAACGTTACGTTACTGTGAGTCTCGCAAGGCGTAAGTTGGACTGAACTTCAACCATGGTGCGTTCCCTGATAATCCAGACGGTCACACCAGGCCCGTGTAGAATTCTGTACGCCCAGATATACGGGAGCGACGCCCATGGGGACAAGCACGGCCAGACGGGTAGCCTGGCACCGCAGACGTCGGCGCGAGGCCTTCAGAAGGAGCAGGTGGCTGCTGTAGCCCGGCAGGTCCAGTCGGAGTGTTCCTTCCAGCTTCACTGTGCAGCATCAGACCCTGTGGGAGAGGAGGTGGGTGTGTTTGTGTGGGTGTGTGTGTGTCTGTATGTATGTGTGTGTGTGTGTGTGACGTGTGTGTGTGTGTTTGTGTGTGTGTCTGTATGTATGTGTGTGTGTGAGTGTGTGTGAGAGTGTGTGTGTTTGTGAGAATGTGTATGTGTGTGTGTATGTGTGCTTGTGTATGTGTGTGTTTGTGTGTGTGTACATGTTTGTGTGTACATGTTTGTGTGTGTGTGTTTGTGTGCGTGTCTGTGTGTGTGTGTGTGTACATGTGTATGTGTATGTGTGCATGTGTGAGTATGTGGATGTGTGTGAGTGTGTGCTTTCTATATGTGTGTCTGTGCAATCTGTGCAATATAAAGTCACTTGTCCCCGCCATTATGTTGAATTTGTGATCTCCTTGTTCTAACATCTAACCACATACTACTAGTACATGCATGGTCTAATAAGTCAGTTTCTCTGTTATATATGTTGTCAGTTCAATAGTGCTCATGTTTTTAAAAAGACTGTTCTCTTGCAGGTCAGGAGACATCTTTCCCAGGAAGAAGGTGCCATCGTTCCACAAACAGGCACGTTCCAAATGCCGCCGGGAGAGCTGTTTGGGTCCAAAACATTCGCTGTTTGGCAGACCGCTGGGAACTGTGGCTTGTCGCTGGTATGTGACAGCCACGAGAACCGACAGCAAGCCGCGGCCGCGCTGTCACAGATCTTCAAACTGCTGAAGCTGCACCTGAGAGTTTTGCACCAGCCTGACGAGGTGCTGCAGAAGCCGGAGAAGGTCGCCGCCATTCTGCACCACTTCCTGCCCCAGGGACAGCTGCTGTTCCTGAACAGCAGGGCTGTGAGACACAAGGAGAAGGAGCTCGAACTCATGCTGTCTGGGAAATGATAATGGCAAATAACTTGGCCAAGTAAAATGGACTAATTTTAGCAATCCTTAGAATGATGAAGAATAAAACTAGCAAATGCATAATGTTTACCTTCACATGTGGTCTGCTGTGTTAATTCTTACTCAAACACATTCATATATATGGTCGCAGACAGTCTAAATCCCTCCTGCTACAAAATTGCAACATGATGTAACCCAACACTAGTTACCATGGTAACAGACAGTCTGGTTCAGAAGAGAAAACGTAGCAAAAACAATACTAGTATGTTTTACTTCGGTAAAACCATGATTTTTACCTCCGTGGTAAAATATAACCAAAGGTACTGGATATGATTTAGTGAAACGTCCTCTAACGGAGTATAGGAGAACTGCAGCTCAGAGCAACAACACACAGACACTAGGCAGAAAAATGGCTGTGTCAAATGTTACTTCCCTCTGAATATTGAATACGGGTTGATATAAGCTGCTTAAAAAAGAGTCATAAACGTGTCTTTGAATAAATATTCGCAATACTAAGTATATGTATCATCAGGTGGGGGCGTGGCACAAAGTACAGGTCAAAGTTCGTGGGACGTACCAAAGTTTTATCGTAAAATTTAATATATTTCTACATTTTGTTCGCTACAAACTTTCAAATCCACACATATAACTTTTTATACATTTTTATGTATTATTTTTGTCATTCTTTTTTTTCTACATGGGAACTGTTGTGGTTTGTAAAAATTGAGAAATATTGTGTACCCTACAAAATAGTGGTAGGGTCTGAGGTGACGTGCGCATTTTGCCGCGAAAAGTCGTTGCAGCGTCGAGTCTCTGTGTGTTTACGGCGAAACTTTGTCCTCAAATCGGCGGATTTTCACCCCAAATTTCTCCCCATGGCGGCGCAGAACCGAGTACTGATCCAGGGAGGCAAAGTGGTCAACGATGACTGCTCCTTCGACGCAGACGTGTACGTGGAAGATGGAGTCATCTCCCAGATAGGCAAAAACCTCCAGCTCCCAGGTGGGACCCATTTGCACGCTTAGTAGTTGTCAATCAATCAAATTCATTTGAAGATTTATACTTTATCTTGGGGCATATTGTAGTAATACTCTTCAGTTAGTTGCTCATGGTATTGTATGATACACTGGCTTCTATAAAATTTACCGAAATAAGATATATTGGTCCCTTGGGGATTAAAAAAAAATGGAAGGAGACGCCCCCCCCCCACTCCCCAACACGAGGGGGTATTTGTTGAGATTTTAAAACATTTTTAAGATTGTGATTTTGTGAAGTAAGTTTACCATAGTTTTGTTCAGGTGAAGGGCCACTGTTGGTGTTATAGGTTGCAGAAATTCATATGGATTTTGATTTTGAGACTACAAAACTATGAAATATGAAAACCAGGGAATCGAGGGATAGAATTTCATAACTAGTTTACTGTTACAAGTAGTATATGAGTAGTGAATACTAGTGTTTTGTTGCATTTCGTTTTGGTATGTTGGCCATGACAGACATAAATATATCCATGCATTTCATGATACTGTAGTACATGTATGTACAGAATTCCTGACAAAGGCCATGAGAATTGCTGCTTGACACCTAATCAGCAAAAATTAACAAAACAATTAGTACTTATTGTCTTCACGCTGAATATATCACCTTCTGTGTAAACTGTCTGCTAAATTAACATAACATTGTTTAGGCCTAAGGTAAAAGAATGTAAGAAATTCAAGAAGAATTCAAGCAAAACAAATATAGTCATGGACTATAAATCTCTATACATTCAATCCCCAAGCAGATGTATTGGTGGCTACAAAAATATACTCTCCAAGCAGAGGTTTGGGTTTTGGGGGTATTTTTAGCATGTTTTTAGGCTTTTTGTCTGGGTTTCTCTTTTGCACTAATTTTTTTTTCAAAATCAGTGCAAAAGAGAAACCCAGATAAAAAAGCCTAAAAACATGCTAAAAATACCCCCAAAACCCAAACCTCTGCTTGGAGAGTAGCAAAAATATACAGTATCAAATTGGCCAAGCTGTATCCATAACTTGGTCAGAATGTAGTTATTCCATTTGCCACCCAAAAATGGATACTGCCTGGCCACTTTGATACTCTATTTTGCAGCCACAGAAACATCTGCTAATTCTGCTTGGAGATTATTCACATTAGGAATATCTCACTTTGCAACATTAGAAATATGCACACTGATAAGCTATAAATGTCTTTACTAATTAAACCCTTCCCAACTGAGTTGTGGCATGCATGTACAACATATTTGAGATTTGATAAATAATACACGAATGCACTAAGGCTACCATCACCAAGGACATATTACATTGTAGTAATATCAGTTGTCCTTCGAATCACTGACAAATTACTTTTTGAAGTTCCCAACATCCACAATTGAATAGACGCATTCAGTACAAATTTATCCCAACCATACCTGTTTTACCACACCTGCAAGAAGGATTTAAAAAAATGAAAATTCATGCATATGTCATTTTATATATGACATTTTATGGACAACAGTCCAACATTTTATTTTCTACATTTCAGATTCCATACCCTTAATTTATATTAGACAACTATTTGTTAAATCATGTTGCAAATGGTGTGATACTATTCATCTCTTCAAAACCACAAAATTTTGCTACTTGTAGAAAAAAAGACCTACCAATGTCCTTAAAAACACGATTTGCAGAGTCCAGAAAAAAAGGCTTAGATTTTAGAGTTAGACCAGTTGCTTGACCCAGTATGATAGAAATGTAGAGTGTGACTAGACTAGAGTCTCTGGGAAAGAAAATATACTACATGTAGTAGGGACTCTGTTTCGGGACAGAATAGGAAAAAGACCTGAATGTATTGCCAGTTTGTGAGTGAGCTAATTGATTTAAACAGTGTTACAGTGTTTACAAAACTTCTCCTCCAACATGCATTTGAATTTCACATACATGTCCCAGTGTGTCACTGTGTTGACTTTAGCCTCCTCTCTGTATGTAGGTCAGGGTCTGCCAACACGCCCTGTTTCCGGGTTAACTTTGCCTTCATTGTTGTGTGAAATTTTGTAAGGTTCCTATTGAATCCTAAAAAAGCATGGATTGTACTCTGTAGTATTAATAACATTTGTATAGTACTAGTCACTTGACGTTCCACTTACCACCATTATCTCGCACTGTCTGTTACTGTATACTATTATATACCTACATTTTACAGTATAATTCAGAAAATCAGCTTGCAGCATGTACAACAAGCTGAATAACACTGATTTGTACAATCCTTACAGTACAGTCACTGTATAATGTGTATATGGCAAATAAAAATAAACATTACATACAAAACAGAAAAAAGCACACAAACAAAACTATACAGAATACAATGTACATTGTTAATGTTACATTCGCTAGAAGGTTTAGCATTCAGTTTGGCTATAGTGGGGTGACTGTGGACCAAAATTATTATTGAAGATGGCAGTTTTCGGATGAATACTTTTGAATTTGTTGCTAGCTGGCTATCAAAGAAAGGCACAAAGCCAGCAACAAAAGATCGGAGTCCACGCCCAAATCTGTCCTTGTGTATGTGTCAAGTGGACTGCCCTTAATGTAAAGAAAAGGTGACAGTTTTTCCAGGGTAACACCTGAACTTTGGACCTATTACTAACACTCCCACAAAGGGTTAACATGCACATGTAGGAACTCATTTAGAGTGAATTGATATGTTGATCTACTAGTATATGGTTTAATTTTTAGTTCAAGAAAATGCAGGGACTGCAAAGTCTTCATTATTACCTAACATGAGACTTTGGACTTACTGATAACCCTCCTACAAAGGTTAATGTGCATGTGTAGGAGTATGAGTGAATTGATATGTTGATTTATAAGTTAGGTCATGGTTTGATGTTTAGTTAAAGAAAGTGGGGAGACTTCAAAGTATTTAGCACTACTACCTAACAGCAGATAACATTACAAACTAGATACTACTACTAGAAACAATTAAATTATTTGTTTTGGGTGCCACTAAAAGTAAAGAAAATGAGATAAAACCTTAGTTTGTTGCAGGTATTTTGAACATTACCTGCAACACAGAAACAAAATGTCTTCTGAGTCTGATACAAGTGTACTGCTCAGGTTTTGAAACACATCAAAGCTTTCTGAATTACATGTAAATGGAAGGAGAGCAAAAAACAAAAAATCCCCATCGGGACAGCAACTGACGTAACCTTTGTTGACCTTCAGGAGGAGTCAAGGTCATCGATGCTAAGGAGAAGCTGGTCATCCCCGGGGGTATCGACACCCATACCCACATGCAGATGCCTTTCATGGGCACAGTAGCAGTGGACGACTTCTACACTGGCACTAAGGTAAACAACGTTAACACATCAGAGATTTCATACCCAGAATGTGAATAATTATATGTTTCCAGAGTCGATGATTACTACAACAATAGAAAACTCAAAAGCGACTACCACCTGCTGCTATTGTCTGTGCACCTGTCTGACCTCTCACACCTGAGAAGGCGTTAATCACCTGCACCAGGTGTTTCTTAGTTTGGAAGACAAAGAAGCTTGAAGCCTTTTAGTCTCAAAATCAAATGCATCTGATACGATTTCAGGGTAACAAAACGAATAAAAAGGAAATCTGTATGTTATTGACACATACTGCCCCACATTAGTGTCATTAGCAGAAACAAGCCCCAATGTGAGTCCTTAATAACAACTTGCAATCAGCTGTTTGACCAATTAAAAGTGTCTGGCAAAACCAGTCTGGAGTTAAGTTAACAGCGAATTAAAGTGGGCAGCTACGATTAACCGTGAATTTAAAATGTGTTGCTAGGCCTCACAGTAAAACTGTAAGTGTAAAAGGCAGGCCGACCCCCCAGGATGTCTGTGCCTGCCTGAGGTCACAGTTAGTGGGAAATCACTTTTGGAATCATGACCTCATAGAGGCCCACCACAGGAAATACTTCCGCACAATTTCTTCTGATCTAATTTTTGGCCTTCGGCAGTTACTGTATTAAGGAAATTGCCTTTGCAGTGGCAGTGGAAAAGGACTGTTTTCTCTGTATTTGTAAGATTTTGTAGTGCATTTTATGCTGTACTAGTAGAAATAACAAAAAAAAAACACATATTTGCAGTTTTATACATGTATAGGACACATAATCACAGAGTTATAATAAAAATATATAATTGAGTCTCCTGAAATTGTATCTTTAATACTCAAGGCCTCATCAGCTATACTAAGACTTCCGTTCACATCACCAGCCGTGACCAGGCAAGAGTCCCCAGAATGTTTTCATCAATATTTTGGCACTGGATACCTAAATATTTTGAATGCCAGACTAATAGTCCTCGTGGGAGGAAGTGTTCTAGCTTGCTAGATGCCTAGAGGGATTGTGAAAAACCAGATATTGGTCCACAAGTAAAGCCATAGTATTTTATTCTATGGCCTGTGTGATATAGATAGAAAGGTATTTTGTATATTAGTTATGCTCCAAGCTGATACTGATGTACATTGCGTATGGTCAGTTTGTGTTGCATGAGGCCACTAATGTAGGAATGAAAACTAACTTTTTACCCATGTTTTGTCTAAAAATAAACTAAAAACTTACCATTTATTAACTGTCAAGTTCATTATTGTCTCTGTTGTCATGAAAGAAATTCAAAAGAACATGTTAATTTGTCAAAATGTTTAGGGACATTTATAGAACTGGACCTGTAACTAATCCTGTGCCTAAAATTTGTTTGTTGTGTTTGTCCAGGCTGCGTTAGCTGGAGGTACCACCATGATTCTGGACTTCATCATTCCCAAACGGGGACAGTCTCTACTGGAGGCGTATGACCAGTGGAAGGCATGGGCCGAACCAAAGGTAAGGGCGGGGGGGTGTGTACTGTATCAGAAGGAGGGGTGGACTGAACCAAATGGAAGGGGGGGTGGGGGTGGACTGGATTAGAAGTAGGAGGGGTGGACTGAATCAAAAGTTCATTCCACCAAGTTATCGTGTTTACAGACACACAGACACACACACACACACACACAAATGCCTCTGAAAACATAACCTTCTTGGCAAAGGTAATTAGTTGAGTGATTGTTTACTCAGCTGTTTACTATTCTGTTTACTCCTGCAGGTTTGTTGTGATTACTCGTTCCACATGGCGGTGACCTGGTGGAATGACAAGGTTGGGGAAGAAATGGAGACAATTACCAAGGAGAGAGGTGAGATGAACTGAGATGTCCACATCTGGACTTAAAGCAGTGGTTGAAGTCCTTTTTTTTCACTGTACTGCAATATTGCACAGCAATGTCAAAATTTTGTTCTGCAATTGAGAAATACACTCCGGACTTAACTCCATGGCATATAAAATTTTACATGGAATTTGAAAAATACAATTTTCATTGAGGTCATGACAGAAGAGGTATCGGTCAGACAAAATATCTCAAAAAGATAAAGTTGACATCATTTAAAGTAAAAATAAATGTACCAAAATATGTATATTTCAAGAGTGAGAGCTTGTTTCATGGTGTTATTATTACAGAACAAACAATTTCTTATTTGTTTCTAGGCATAAACTCCTTCAAGATGTTCATGGCATACAAAGACGTGATGATGCTGACTGATGCTGAGATCTACCAGGTGTTCTGCCGCTGCAAAGAGATAGGGGGCCTCGCTCAGGTGCATGCAGAGAACGGGGACCTCATAGACGAGGTAAGGCTCAGTAGAACCATATGAAATTGAAATCTTGGAAGTGTATGTATGTCAGTGAATTTCTTGCTATGATTTTATGTCTGAACTCAGATTTTCAGATCTTGAATGTGATTCACCCCTATTTTTGCTGACATGTGCTGCAATATTTGCATGGATGGGGATAGTTTAACCAATGGACAAGTACATGTACCTCTATGGGCTGTGGCTTGTTCTGGTGAATTGTTGTAGGGAGAAAGTAATCTTCAAGCAGATCTTTCGGTGGCTGCAAGGACAGTATCAAATTGGCCAGACTGTATCCATTTGCCAGACAGTTACAATTTGCCACCCAAGTGGCTGAGGACCCTCTCTTGATGGCCAGTTCTAACCCTAACGCTTTTGCTGCCAGGTATCTGCTTGAAGATTAGAGTGAAAGAGACTGATGTGACCCTGTTGTTTCTCCACCCACAGTGTTCTAAGAAGCTGATAGCTCTGGGCATCACCGGTCCTGAGGGACATGCCATGTGCCGGCCGGAGGAGGTGGAGGGAGAGGCGACAAACCGCGCCGTCACTATCGCTAACAGGGTGGGTACATTCATCAGGGCTCGAAACACCCATGTGCAATTTGCAAAATGCTCATGATTTTCAAGATTTGCACTTAAAAGTATTTTGAATGTGCAATTTTGCACCAAGAGTAGGAGGGGGAGGGGGCGCATTGCAGCCATAAATTGCATCTGAAGATTACAAAATCTGTGCTGCAAAATTAATAAAACATTGCCATCGGGCATCGTCAAGTGTCGACCTCCATGTTGTGTGGCCAAAGTTTTGCCCAGACAACATTGCAAGGTCGCCAACATGCAATTTTGTATATGCAATGGGTTTAGGTCCAGACTTACAAGTCCGCAACTGAACCTAAACCTCTGGACTTGAATCCAGACCTGAACCTAAATGTGGGTTTAGGTACACAGCACTATATGTAACTAAATGTCTGTCCCTTTCCCCAGGCTAACTGTCCGCTCTACGTGGTACATGTCATGAGCAAGTCTGCAGCAGATGTCGTTTCTGATGCCAGGAAACAAGGTAAGGGGAGGAGCTGTGTGGAAGGGGGAGGGGGGCACACAACTGTATCTTAGTCTTGGTGTTACCATTATATCCAATTACACGGTATGACCAATTGGGAGATTTGATACAAGATGTATTTTTTTTATGTATTGGTTTGGCTGTTCAATACACACAGACAGGGCAGCCCAACTAGCCTGTGGCTATTACAAAGGGCTTGCCCTGCTGACATGACAAGACATTGCATTAACATACTAGTATACTATATTAGGTTAACAGTCTATAAAGGCATTGTATCAAAAGAACTAAATCTACCGGTGTCATGTAATCTATGTGGAGTCAAAGTGGAGTCTATTTGGATTATGAGACAAAAAGAAAAGGATTTTGAAAGAAGTGATTTCCTTTCCTCATCCAGGCAAAGTTGTGTTTGGTGAGCCCATCGCTGCCGGCCTGGGTGTGGACGGTACCAACTACTGGGACAAGGACTGGCGGCACGCAGCCGGCTACGTCATGGGACCGCCCCTCCGAGAGGACACTACCACCCCCGCGTACCTAATGGACCTGCTCGCCAAGTAAGGCTTTAACGATGTGGGACAGTCCACTCTACATCGTAGATGGGTGGATCCAAGTCTCTTCATTGTCCTTACTGCTACAGCTTTCATTGTACAGCTTTCTGGACTTGTCTAAGATTTGCTGTGTTTTCTGCATTGTACTTGTTCTTGTTCTGCACTTTCTTGTTAACTGTGGGCAGTATCTGGCCTTCAATGTACATTGTAATATCTGTGTAGTGACCTATAACACATTCAGTGTATGATCGTCTGTGTGCTGAATAGAATCACTTCCTCCTCGCTCTATGTCAGATCCTAACCTTAACTCCTCTGTACAGTGTGATAACTGCTATATTAACCTCTGACCTCTGTGCAGCTCTCTTCAGGTTTCACTCTGAACTCTGACCTTTACCCTGCTTCAGGTAGGGCACTCTGAACTCTGACCTTTACCCTGCCTCAGGTAGGGCACTCTAAACTCTGAACTAGACTTCTTCACTATATCATAAAAATACTAGTTAGGGTTACGTCCGGTCATTGAATTTTTGTGTGTAAGTACCTTTGTGTAAGACAATAATCCATGCAAATTTTGATAACGTAATCATGATGCTATCTTGAGTTATAAGCCACGCCTGCTTTTGAGAAAGATTAATTTCCCTGGCTAATGGTTTGATTTTCATTAACCATATTTTGTTGAGAAGCATCTAACACTGTAAACTTGACAACTCTCCAGTGGTGATCTGACCTGTGTTGGCACGGACAACTGCACCTTCAACGCCAACCAGAAGGCGCTGGGGAAAGACGACTTCCGTAAGATCCCCAACGGGGTGAACGGTGTGGAGGACCGTATGTCCATCGTGTGGGAGAAGGGCGTGCACTCCGGCAAGCTGGATGAGAACAAGTTTGTGGCGGTGACGAGCACAAATGCCGCTAAAGTCTTCAACCTCTACCCCAGGAAGGTGTGTTACAGTTCAGTTTGTGCACAACAGTTTATGTATTAAAGAGTGGGATCAGTTAGGTCAATGAGTGCCACTTAACTGACCTAACTGGTCCTGTGAGTAATAAAATAGCAAAGTGTGCTTTGAGGACAAATCTGAAAGAAGAAAAGGGGTAATAGTGCAATTATGGTTGGGTTCAAGCACCACTAACTTATGACCTAACAGGTCCAGACCTTAGCAGTTGGTTGCTAGGGTTCTCAAGCTGGCAGCCCGGTTTCAATTCCAGGGAGCAATGGGTTTTCATGTTTCTACTCGACCCAAGTTGATTCAGTGGTTCCCACACCAGTCCTGTGACCCTGATGGATTTGCACAGGAAACCTATCCATAAGAAGTGTGTTATGTACCGTTTTTTCCCGTTCAATCCAGCTATACATAATGTATAAATGAAGTAGCCTTGTGGACTTACTGATCTTACTCCAGCATAGCATTAACGAAATACTAGTAGCAGAAACAGTCCTTCCTGACCTGTACCTGTATTTCCCATTGCAGGGTCGTATTGCTGTAGGATCAGATGCAGACATCGTGGTGTGGGACCCGCAGGCGACAAGGAAGATCTCAGCCGCAACTCACCACCAGGCCGTCGACTTCAACATCTTTGAGGTAGGAGGGGTTTTGTTTATCATATTTTTTCATATCAAAGAATTTTCGTTTATCAAATTCAATCAAAGAGGATTTTGTTCCTCTAGTTCCATCCTAGCTTTTTCTCGTTCACAGACAAAAAGAAAACGTTGCATGTCGATAAAGGTTGGTGATGGGGTGCACAATAAATTGTTACTTAGGCAACTGGATAGGTTTTGAAAGCTGTCAGAGGTTTAAGTAGCTTCCCTTACTTTTCTTCAGTGACTTACAAAAATTTTATGCTTCTTGAATGTCTTACAAAAGTAGTGGAAGGTACTAAGTAAGTTACTTGAAACGTCTGACAGTTTTGAAAACCTATTCAGTTACTTGAGTAACAATTTCTTGTGTATTGCCTGATCTACTCCTCCACTTGCTGACTCATTTGTTCCCTCCATCCATCCCTCAGGGCCAGGTGTGTCACGGCGTCCCTGTCTATGTCATCAGCGGTGGCAAGGTGGTGGTGGAGGATGGCGGACATGTCATGGTCACACAGGGTGCCGGCAAATATATCCCAAGGTACGGGCGTGTGTGCATGTGTCTGTGTGCCTGCGTGTGTGTGTGTCTGTGTGTGTGTGTGTGCATATGTGTGTGTGCATATGTGTGTGTGTGTCTGTGTGCATATGTGTGTGTGTGCATATGTGTGTGAGTGCATGTGTGTGTGAGTGTGTATGTATGTATGTGTGTGTGAGTCAGGCCTCTAGCCAGTTCCAAATTTTTTTCTGTCAGGCCAGGTTCATGATCGGACCTGAGGTGAGAGTGCTCGCTGTCTGGGGGCAAAATTTTGAGTGTGTGTGTGTGCGTGCGCGTGTGTGTGTGTGCGGGCGTGTGTGTGTGTGTGTGTGTATGCGGCAAATTCACAGCCTAGTGGGCCGCTATGCTGAAAAGGCCTGGCGAGAACACTGTATGCGTGCAAAGCAGACAAACATTAGCAATCCTGCCATGCAAGTTTTGAAGTCCTCTCATCGTTGCCACCATTAGAAAGCCGTTCAGTGACTACGTGTACAAGAGGATTAAGGTGCGTGACGGTCTGCTCCAACCCAAGGCTGTGGAGAGGGAACCGTACAAGGGACCAGTCATAGACCTCAACGCTCAGCCACAGGTATGGACTTTACATGTCTAAACACTTGTGTGGTAGCTAGATTACAACTACATGTACTATGATTGTAATTGAAGTTTTACATGTGAGAGATTGTATCACACAGGCTAAATGATGTTTGTTCCTCTATCTTTGTGTGAGAATAATCGGGTGATTATGAATAGGGTGGTGAGGCTTAGCAGTAGCGTGTTTGGCTCAGGGCCAAGAGGTCCCGGGTTCAAATCCTACCCTGTCCCCGATCTTGTGGCCTTGGGAAATGCACTTCACATTTCTTTCCTCACTCTACCCAGGTGTAAAAAAGGTACCTGACTTCGGTTGTGGAGGTAAAGATGGTGGAAGGAGAGGGATGGGCTCCGCCTTCCTATACCGTGTCCAAGAGACAGTGTTTTTTATTAACCCACTGCCTCTATGCCCTGAATAAGGCTATGGAACTACCTTTACCATTTTATGAACGGAACAGTCTGACAATTTTGTGTTGTGTCGACTGTTACAGGAGGAGCCCAAGCGCGTCGCCCCGTCCATCGCTGCGGAGTTTGAAAACCGCCCAATCAGCAGTCGGCACGGCCACCGCGACCTTCACGCGTCCGGGTTCAGTCTGTCCGGGCGACAGGTGGACGACAACATGGGCAACACACCGCACAAGCGCGTCCTGGCTCCCCCCGGTGGAGCCTCCAGTATCCAGTTCTAAACTGGCCAACCCCTTTGGGAGCCCCGACTTTTTAGTTCTGAACTTCCGGTCACAATTTTGTGGCAATTTTAGTCCTCTGTTAGTTTCTTTCTTATCATGTTTGAATTTTGTAAGCTAAGTTTTTTTTATGAGATGCATTCCATTTGTATAAGCTTCTCAACGATAATTTGCCACTATGTAATTTAGGTTCACAGCACACATGTAGCTGAGAAGTAAATGACAGAAGTTGTGCTTCTCAATGTTACAGGTTTTTATGATCATTTTCAAGTTAATGCTGACAATTACTTTATACAAAAAACTGCTGACGTGTCACAATATCATCCATAGCCATATAGGTAGTAGTCAGTATATTTGTGGGTAAAATAGTACATTTTTTAACTGTTGATGTAGTTAATATGTACTTACAATTTAAGTTACATTTCTACTCATTATGAAGTAACTTTTACCAGGCTTCCAACTCTTTCTTTTTTTATTCTTTAGTTTATAGCTTCTATCATGATTGTGCAAGGATAGACCAAATGTTACATGTCAAAACACCATTTTGATAGAGGAAGCCTTTTTCACTCCTACAGTTGATGGCTTGATGCTAAAAGACATTTGGAAGAAAGATTTGCTTCCTGTAACCATGTAACATCATTGCAGTAGTGGGCAAATAATTAGGAAACTAAAACAAAGTAACTAGGTAATGGATTGTATGAGAGCTAAAATAGCTGATATTACAGAAGTTCTGAAAAGCAAAGGAGTAACCACGAAGGACCATTCTTGATTTGAGTCAATGAGCTCTCTATTGTATTGATACTTGATGTAGATAATTCTGTAACTGTATGTTAATGTGTGTCACAAAACTCACTCCACATCGTGCACATAGTATAGTACATGGATGTAAAGCATTAAAGTCCAACATGCCTTCTATATACCAATAGATAACATCGCCTACAAAAATTAACCATCTTAAAATTCATCCAGTATGTTTGGGCAAAGAATGGTAGGAGTCAGCAGAAAGGTGGTTAATATGTTTAACCCTTCTTGTTTGAAGATAGCATGATCTTCAGTAAGTACATGTGTATGTATGGAGAACACCGTGATGTGCCTATATACTAAATACATGTATGTATAATGTCAAACTGTACTACTAGTAAATTGTGCCTTGTAAGTGTTTTTGTCAGTTCTAGCTGTAGACGATCGCGCTGATGGCAATCAACCTCTCCATTGCTCAACAAACGATTAAACTTGTCCTATCAACAAATTTGGCCTTCTCGGCTGCTTTTATGGTATTTGTTATTTGATTGATACATACCGGTATAGCATATTATCTGTCTATTCTCAGTTTCTTTCCCATGCAGTTTTTTCTAGCCTGGGTGCCAGACCCATAGCACACTGGACACAAAGTATCTCAGTGAGCACTTTGATACTTTGTGTCCAGTGTGCTATGGGTCTGGCACCCAGGATATTTCTTTCTCATGCAGTATCTTTCCCATGCAGTTTCTACTATTTCCTCCGCTTCCTGAATCCTGGTAGAGGCTACTGGGAACCGAGTGCTGAGAACTAGAAAGGCTTGGCTCTGGAAAGCCAAAGTGCTGGAAACCGAGTGTTGAGGCCACCAACTCTGGGGTAGTGACGAACTGTGAGTTACGATTTGCTTAAAAGCTGGAACATTTTCGTTACCCTACCTTTTCTAAGCACCGGTGTTACCCGCTCTTTCCAAATTGTGAACAGGCTCAGCAGTTCTATTCCTGAGGGGGCTACTTGTTAACGGTAATGTTGTCTGTTTTGGGTACCAGTAGATATCCATGGTATCTGTTATGTACAAGTACTAGTCGCTTTTAAGTACCTGTAGATGTCCATAGTATGCTGAAGTTCTTTCTCCTTGGTCTTGCCTAGCCTGGCCTGTACCCGCCCCAGACGTTGGTATAGCGAGGGCCAGCGCGGGCGGGCCACCAGCGACTTCTTGTAGGCCTTCTCCGCCGCAGTGAAGTTCCCGCACCGCTCCAGGAACCCGCCGTACGCCGCCCAGACGCTGTGGGACGTCTCGTACAGGTACAGGGCCGACAGGTAAGCCTGCTCCGCCTTGTCGTCCTGCCGGAGCGAGGAGTACAAACTTGCCATCATCATGTACGGCTTCATGCGGAACGGGTCTGTCTTGATGGCGGTCTGGAAGAGGGATATAGCGTCACGGGGCCGCTGCCGGTGGTCGTGGTACATCGCGTGTAGCGCGTGCGCCATGGAGATCTCGCCTACCTGGTGTAGGGACGCTTTCAAGTTCACCAGCGTCTGCTCAAGCTCTGCATCCAGCTCTTCCGAAACAGCGCCTCCTCCCACCTTCTTCGCGTACTGCAGAAAACTCCTACCTAGGTCGCCGAGCTTGGATATTTTGCAGCCGAGGGCTTCGTCCGTGAAGGACATGGCCACGGTGTCGCCGATGTTCACCACTGCGTGGTGGAAACACTCCGGGATGTAAACCACATCCCCCGCCTGCTGCAGGCACTCCAGGGGTCGCCAAACGGCGCTCACGTACGGCTGAACATACTTCATCCAGTCCAGTTGCTCGAAATTGTTCCCACCGGGAGGCGGTTTGTTCGGAGCGGAGAGGAACCAGCGTTTGGCGCCAAACATGACGCCGTTCCAGGCCTGTCCGTGCGCGTGCCAGGACAGACCCGTCCCGGACCGGCCCAGGAACAGGCGGGAGACGGGACCCTCCAGCCGCGACTGGTTCAGGTAGCTCGGCAGGTGGACGTGCGGCAAGAGTTCCGTCACAAGCGTCGTGTCCGATACGTACTTGCTGTCGAAACCGTATTCGTCGTCCAGATAACGCTTGAGATACACGTCAAGCGTCTCGCTGTCTTTCCCTTCTCCGCCGTTACTGATGGTCTCCGGCGAGTAACCCGTCTGGACGCGTCTGTCGCCGTGGCGGGACACAAGACCGTCTCTAGTCCACACGTCCGGGTCCGTCCAGTCCCGAGCGCCGCCCCGGAAGCGTAGTAACACCGGCTTCACGTTCCGGTACGTCGATTCGAACTCTTCCGACGTCAGCTGGTCGGCGTACCTGACGTCGAAGTCGCAGCGGCGCAGGGCGTACATGTTGACGTCGTCTTCGTTGGTGCGCCAACCTCCGTCGTTTTGCGGCGCGGGAATTAAACTGATTCTTGTCCCTTTCGGCGGAATGTCGTCGTCGAAGACTGCTGGAAGAGGGTAGCCGTTGTCTTCTAGGTCTAAGATCGTTTCCAGACTTAGAGGTTCGTCTGAAGTGGGTGGGGAAAAATAAACTCCTTCGTCGGTAGAATTCTTGTCTCCGTTTTGTGAAGGATTGACAAGATTTGCGTGATTGTCTTGTAAGACGGTCGAGGCGTTTTCATTATCTTGCAAGGGGGATGCTTTAAAATTGCTGGCAGAGCCGTCTTGAGATGTGACGTTTACGTCTTCAACTTCCAAGAAACTTGAAGTATGTTCGGGCCCATTCTGCGCGGCAAAGGTGTCTTTAAGATTTGTGTGTCCACCTTCTTGTAATGTGTCTGTAAGAGTTGTGAGTCTGTCTGGCGTGGAGTCTGTAGGATTTGTAGGTTCATCTTGTTCAGCGTTTGACAAACTGGTGGGTCCATCTTGTAAGACATTTGTACCATCAGAGACATCAGGTCCATTTTGCACCGCAGAGGGGGGGTCATGGCTGCAAGAATGGACGGTTTCTTCCGAAGACACCTTCACAGACCCCGTCGGCACTGTTGAGGGACTGAGGCCGGTCTGGTTCAGACTGCAAGGTGTCTCCCTGGCCGCAATTCTGGTTGTGTTGAAACTCCAGAAGCTCCAAACACCGGCATCTGTGTTCCACACATCACGCGTGTTCACCAAACTAACCACCGCCACGACGGCAGCAAATGTAGAGAAGACGAACAAGGACATCTTTAATCCGTTTTTCTCACGGAAACTCACGTTCTTGTGAAGTTCTTGAGACGGGCGGCGTATTTCTTGAACATCTAAGCCCGTCTTGAGATCCTGTAAGTCGTCTACAAGCTCACCGGAACCCTTGGAAGCCCGCTCGGGTGATGACCGCCATGACTCTGACCTTGACTTGTCCGAGTCCTCAAGGTCATCTTTCTCGTCCAATAAACGGGGTTTATTTCCAACTTTGTCGTCCGACGTGACCCCGACCGCTGGTTGGTTCCTCAGAGCGCGCTTCCCAGCGAGGTTCTTCCTCTTTCTCACCATCTCTCAGGGTTTTTGTGGGCTGAAAAACAGTAGAAACGTCTGTCCGTCCTTTCAGCGTCCCACGTAACGTTCGATCGACGGTTCTAGACGTCGAACGCTGTTCTACAGTTCCTTTAGTGACATCAGTGTTCTAAAACATGTTCGATTGAAACAGGAGGATGGAGGCAACACAAGCCATGATCTCCAAGCAGATGTTTCGAGGCAAAGTTTCCTAAACTCCAAGCAGATCATACGGTGGCAAGAGCAGTATCCATTGGCCAGAGGCCTATATAATAGCCACCAATGGATACTACTAATGATCTGCTTGGAGATTAAAGTTTCCTAGCTGTCTGGTTTTGTTAAACTGAAGGAGAGGCAGTTTGTAACAGTTTGCAATATTGTCCAGGGGGGGGGGGAAATCAGCTCTTCACCACTTCTGAAAGGTTACAATGCTTACTAGTATTACGTATGGTACATGTATGTGAAACTGTACAAAATTAAAACACATTCAACTTCTCTTTGTCTTGTATAGTTTATTATAAAATGATAATCTCTCTGATACATATACAGCCTATAGCATAGCAGAACCAAATATACACAAGATTTGCATCATCACGTCAGGACAACGATGCTTCAATGGCTACTGTTCTCTACAGTACAATAGTCCCAAATCACTGTAGTAAGGCCCCACTCCTGAGGCATTGCCAAAAACTGCAATTCACAACTAATTATGACAACTAAAAGATTTAAGATTTCATAGCAAAAGAAGTAGCAAAACAGGAAAGTAATTTCTACTCGTTAAAAAGAATTTTACGTGTTACAAAAAAAAAAAGACTACGAAAAAAGCAACATGTCATTTAGTATTATGACATTTAGTATCATTGTGGTATGGTACATGGTCAGTGCAACTTGGACCTAAAATATACAAGCTGTTTTTGCGTAGGTCAATTTTTCAAATAGAATATTCAGCATGTTAAATGGAATGAACCACGTACTACATAAGGGAAGGAAGCCCAACATACGAGTATTATTTTGATGCTTAAGAGAAGTTCACTTAGTACATTGCTCTAACTTTAGCATCCTATTTAAAAAGCATGTCTTTGACATTCTGACGGGCACCCTAAATAAGACTGCATAC